TTTTCAGAAATGTTTTATCTGATGTAATGGTCTTAACATCAGGAGTACCTCAAGGCTCAGTGTTGGGACCTATTCTTTTTGTCATGTACACTGCTGGGGTTTTAAAGATTATTGATGAGTTTGGTTTTAAGTATCACGCTTACGCTGACGACATACAAATAATAATTAGTAATAAGCCAGAACTACTACAATGTGAAATAAATAGACTGGTCCAGTGTCTAAGCAATGTTGAAACGTGGATGTCTAACAATGGTCTCAAATTGAACCAACAGAAATCACAATTTCTTCCCGTTGGAACATGGCAGCAGTTGACAAAACTAAATATTGATTCGGTGGAAATTGATGACGTCAAGATTGGGTTCTGTGACAAAGTAACTAGTTTGGGTTGTTTACTGGATACCAGATTATCGATGCAGGATCATATAAAAACGATAGTGAGAGCATGTTCCTTTCAGATTAGAGAGTTATACAAAGTACGTAATTCTTTAAATAAATCGGCTATTCAGACGTTGGTGCATGCACTTGTTCTTTCAAAACTAGATTACTGCAATAGCCTTTTTCACGGGTTACCTGATAAACATGTTTCTACTCTTCAGTCCATACAGAACAGAGCGGCCAAGTTGATTGTCGGTGGTCTCAGATACAATCATGTAACTCCTATTTTGGAAAGTCTTCATTGGCTCACTGTTAAAAAAAGAATTACATACAAAATAAGCCTAATAATGTATAAAGCGTTACATGGTCTGTTACCAGGTTATCTGATCAATAAAATAGAAGAAAAATCCGTAATGATGAGTGGCATGAAGCTGAGGTCAGATGATAATATTTTGCTGGTTGTCCCGGATATCAATTTACAGATCGCGTCAAGAAATCTGGCTGTTTCAGGACCGGCTGTTTGGAACAGTTTGCCAAGATTTTTGAAATCTAAAGACTTGAAGCTGGATGATTTTAAGAAGAAATTGAAAACTTATTTATTTGCACTTTGATTTTGATTTTGAACTGTTTATTAATAACTGCCATTGTATACTGTTCTTTATTTTTTTTAATTGCTATGGATGGCGCTTTTGAGAACTTTTTGATTTTAATTGGCGCCTTATTAAGTGTTTTGATAATAATAATAATAATAATAATACATACACATACAAAATATGCGGCTCTTGCAGATAGCTAAATTTTTCAGCCAGTCTGTATTGAGACCTTTGGTCCAACCGATTTTCAGACTCAGAGTTTTCTGAATGAACTCTGTAGCAGAATTGTAGAAGTATCGGGTGACCCATTAGATAAGAGTTATGTAAAGCAATCTTTCTCTATTTTACTTCAAAAATATAATTCTTTCTGTATTTTGGATGGAGCGTTAAAATACCTGCCTGTGCGAAGCGTTTAACATAGATTAAAGCTGAACCCGGATATGATTATTACTTCCTTATAGTTCTAATCAATTATGGGTTCATACATACATACATGCATGCATACATACATACATTCATGCATATATAAATACATACATACATCCATAGTATATATACCAATTTTACAACGGTACAATTCAATAATAACATGACCTCATCAACCCTCCTAAAAGGTCAACGTCACATATTACAAGTTCAAGGTCATGTCGTGGGTTTGTTTGTTGACCAACCTACCTGTTATTGGTGTCAAAAGAGTAACCTAATCACAGTCAATAATGATGATGATGATGTGACAATAATCATGACGTAGTGATGACAAAAAGTGGCGTTAAATAAACGATGAAGATAATGCTAAAACTTGAATTACCAAGTTTGTAAATATAACTTTTCATCACCATTGTATATCACCCATTGAAATCATTTTTAGAATTTTTATTTTCATGCAACTGTTTTTAGGATATGATGTAGCTTATTAATTAATAACAATGTGCTTGCTAATGTTTTTATTTATTGAAAGAATTTAAATAAAAGCAGTTGAAAAAATTTGAAAAAATTTAAACTCTTTAATTTATTATTTGATTGAATAATTAAACCACTGAGCAGAACTATATAGTTAGTTAGCTCCGTTGAACCATCGCTGATTTAGTCTGGTGATCGACAATTTGTTGGATTGAAACTTTTTGAATCAATGTAAAACATTTTGACGATCAGTGGCGGATCCAGAAAACTTTAAGGGAGATTAGGAGAATGTGAAAATGTTTAAATTTTTACGGGGGGAGGCCAAGAATTGTGGTAGTGTGGCTGACGACGACCTTTTTTGTTCTTATCACGTTCATTTTTTGGTCGATTAAAATGGTCCCTTTTCTGACTTTTATTAAAAGCTGCTCACAATGAGGGCGCAGTGACCTTTCGGTTCCTTTAGATCCGCCACTGATGACGATTCTGATTATAGGAATAATAATAATAAATAAATTTCATTTGTAAAGCGCCATTGCAAGCAACTGAGGCGCCCCTGGACCAAGAAAATCACAATCAACCATGGCGATTTAAAACACGCCATGTTGTTAGCATGGGTGATTGAATGATGAAATAAAGATGATGATCGCAAAGTAAATGAAATCAGCATTCATGAAAATAAATTGATGACAAGGAAGAAGGAATGATAATTATGATCTGATGGTATTGAAGTGATAATGATGATGACTTTGATGATGATGATGACGACGATGATGATGACGATGGCAATGATGATGATGGCGATGATGCTGATGATGGTCACGATGATGATGACGATGACAATGATGATGACGATTATTATTGTGAAGAAGTTTATGGAAAAGAATATGCAGGTGATGAAGAAGACGACGTGACAAAGAAATGATGAGGATGATTATGATGATGATGGCAGTGATTATGATAATGATGATGACGTGGCAATTATGATGATGATTGCAATGAAGAGGGTTTTAAAAAGGGGTGATGATGATGAACAAATAATGGTAATAATGGTTAAGAACAATAGAGTATTGATGATAGTTTTCAAGATGGTGACGGAAAACATTAAAAGAAGATGATGATGGTTTGGAAATGCATCAGTGATGCTCATGTCTAATAAACCCACGCCAGCCAAAAATTAACAGCCAAAAATACGTCAAACTTTCCTCCCTCTCGACAATTGCATGGAATCTGAAAACCAGCATCATCTCCGTAGCATTATCTGCTGGCATTTAACCATCTCCATAACGTTAATTACTGCATTTTAATTTTCTCCATAACATTAGCAGTAGCAAATATGATTAATGAAAACACAACGATGCCACTGAATGGATAGCAATTTTATTTTCATCGCCACGTCACATCACACTATAATAAAATAAATAAATTTTTTTTGTTTCCAACTCGTCAGTCAGGGACTAAAGTTAAAACGACGCGTTGAAATAATTTGACAGCACAACTTTCAAAAAATCACAACTGTAATCTCATCTTCGAACAATTTTTTTTATTAAAATTCAAGATGGAAACGTCTCGAGACGTCAGCGCGGAAATGGAAAACGTAAAATAAATGAATGTTCACGGCAGCCTGGGGAGCTAACATTCGGCAACGTCGCCAGCCTATAATAATATGCATGCATCTCCATACCCACCCCTCCCATCATTTCGTCTACAAATTATTTTATCTATACATATACAAGAATGAAAAATTATAAAAATTAAAAAATTATATTATTAATACACCAGTTTGATTTGTAAATTTTTTATTCGCATTTTTCTATGTAGCCTTCTAATAATTATTATCGAGACAAATGAATGGTAGATAGAGGTTGGGCTTCAGCTGCTTTAGACACAACGACTTCACCAGGCCACTCTTCTCCCTGCTTACCTCCCGCACGCTGCTGCTTCCAAGTTGCTGTCCCCTCGGTGCGCCCTGTTTTTTAAACACATTTTAAACGAATTTGTGAATAATCAAAAAAGCTTTTATTTAACGCCCTTTTAAAATTGGGATAAATAATTTAAAGGCAATCCTGTCCGTATGAAACAAATTATGGTGACTGTCGGCTTACTATTAAAATATTTAATCAAGAAACAAAAATGTACAAAGTTGTTTTGAAAAAGTTTAAAAGGAAAAATGGCCAAAAAGTCGAACGAATAAAGCGTGATAACAAGAAAAGAGTTTGTGCTTTTTTATTTAAAAATAATTTAAATGAAAAATAAAATTTTATTGAACAAATAAAAAACAGCGCTAACATCAGTTGACGAGGAGGAAGAAGAAGAAGATAATGAAGAAGATGGAATGACCAATTCTCTGATGAGGTTCGTGTAGGCACTCCTCGTGTCCAGCCAGGTCGCCCGCTCCTTCAACTTTCAGTTGGTTCGTTGTTGGCATGTTCACGGTTAAAAATGATGTGTGGTGATAATGAAAGTTATCTGAATAAAAATGATGTGCTGAACTCGGTGGGACTGATGAAGCTGATAAGAAAAATAATAACGAATACGGCATCCTCTGCAAAGTGCTGATTATACCATTTTTGTCAAAATTTTCAGAAATTACGATATTTATTATTATTATTTTAGTTATAATTATAGATGACTATGCCAACCACAAATGCAGAAGATTTAGTGAGGTCAAACAATAAGTGATGATCGAAATATAAAGGCTGACGATGATAAAATGATAATTATGAAATAATAAGAAGAATGAGGAATAACTTGCCTCTGAACAATCAATCGTTGAACATGAAAGAATCGCAATGAACGATACAATTTTCAACAGCTTAAAAAACATTTTTATTTTATTAATATGGAAAATTTATTATGAAATGCAAAAAAGAAAAAATTTATATCCGTTCGGTCTTTGAAAAGAAAATTTTGATCTCTTTCTCTCTCTACATATATAGAGGCGTACATGTAGGCCAATTAGATTGTTCCTTACATCAACATGACATATGCACGCAACGAAGCAATAACCAACGTACCTAAACAGCATGCACATGTTGCAGAAACGACATATGTGTAACAAAATTAACAGGCATGTAACAAAATTAACAAGTATGTGACTTAATTAACATGTATGTAACAGATACAACATATATCTAAGCAAACAATGGGTGATCATGATGTCTTTAGATGTTGCCCATAAATGCATCTTCAATGGTTTCAGCAGGAAGTTTTGGTTCATGCATCGCTAAATTACCTTTTAAATACATGAGGTTATTGATGCGAAATATTTGCAAAAATTTTGATTACAGTTGGGTTTTTTGTTCTCAGAACAGATCATAATATATTTTAAGTTGAAAAAAAAATAAAAAATTCGATATCTCATAAAAAGTGTTTATATGTTAGGTTCTTATGAAAAAACACTTTCTTAATAATTTATTTTTGTAAGAAAAAGTAATAATACATAGTATAATGTAAAAAGTATATAAAATGACATCAAGTGAAACTATGCAAAAAATTATAAACCAGAAAATTTTTAAAAGTGAAATTTATTTTTCATTATATGCAACGATGGTTCTGATTCCATTGAAATTAGTTGAGGTAGAATACACAAAAATTATTAGAATACTAGAACAAGAAACAATAAATATGATTCAAGGAAATTAAAGGAGTACCAAAACACCGCTCCTATCAGTTCATAGAATGTTTGCTTGTTCTATAGAAACAGTTTTATATGTAAAATTCTAAGTAACATAAAAAAATTTTTTATATAGAGATTTTCGTTGTAAAAAAAAGTTCTTTGTAAGGATGTTCGAATATGTTTTACAGTCGACGGGCTTTCAATACTTTTCTGTGTTTATGGTCAGATAGTAAATCTCATAATGTACTATATATAGTTTTTGGTTTCCAGCTTAGCATACGTTCCTCGTCGTGTTGTTGAGTGCAATTTATTATTGAAGTTATTATCGTCTCGAAGTTCCCGGGTTTTATTTTATTAGTTTATATAATAATATTTGACTGTCAGCTTCTTTTATTAGACTACTATTATTTCAACATTTCTTAAAAGAATTTATTCCAGCAGTAACTTTTACTTACACTTACTTACTCTTCTTACTACAGTAACAACGGAGTAACCATTGGTTTGCTCAATTACAATTTGTTGAAAAATGGCTTCGTCTTCAAGCTCCTCAACGAAGGGGTTTGTGTTTTTGTTTTTTTGATTACTCTTCATATATTAGGTGAAAAGAGCATTCACGCTTGTGCACATTCAGTATTTTATTCTGAAATTTTAATTACATGAGTCATTAAATTTGATCTATTAAAACTCTGCATAAAATAAAAAATATTTTAAATATATTACCTTTACCTTTTTTAAAGATATGTGAATGTCATTACATTGCGATGTCCTAATCATCCCGATGCTGAGCTCGTGGAAGATTATCACGCCGGGGATGTCGTTTGCATGGAGTGTGGTATAGTTGTTGGTGACAGGTTAGCTGACTAAATTTTTTTTTCATTTATAATCTAATTTTTTTTTAAATAATTGCATTGGTTTATTCATTATTTTGTTATTTTTAGTAATAATTTTTTTAGCCAGTTCAATCAATTAAGCCTAATTATGTTGAATTACAGGATAATTGATGTTGGATCTGAATGGAGAACATTCAGCAATGAAAAAGATTCCAAAGATAACTCTAGAGTCGGAGCAGCTGAGGTTTCAATCAACTTTCATTCTCAAACTCATCAATTAATAATTACCTTTAGTCATCTTTAACAATCATAACTCGATTGTTAATTAGATATGTGATTTGATGAATTCATCACCACTTGACAACAGAACAGCCTCCTCGAGGGTTCAGACCTTTCAACCTGCATCACTATGGGATCGGGGCCTGCCAGCTTTAACGAAAATGGTCGACCCATTTATAACAACAGGAGAAATGTGAGTTTTATATATTCATGTAAATGTGTTTTTATTTGGAAACATTTTGAAACATTTTGTCCTGTGGTTTAAAAATTTAAAAATTAGTTTTAACAAGAGTGTATTAATTGAAATTACTCATATTCACTATATATCCATATTATTTACTTGGTATTCAAATGAAATGTCCTTGAAATGCAACCAAGCTTAATTGCTTACCTGCTTTATTTAATATAATGTAATCTGTAGAATTTGTCATGTTGGCATGAACTAAAAGCCTCTTTAAATGTCCTCAACCAGATTTTATTTTGTTTTGTTCTTCCATTCAGATCAGCAGTGGTGATCGGGCTCTGATGATCGCCTTCAGAGAGATTGCACAGATGGCAGACAGATTGAATCTTCCTAAAATGATTGCAGTTTGTTTAATTATATAATATTCATTCCATTTTGTATTCAATAGATAATTCTATTTAGTTCACTTATTTTCGAATATACACAAAAAGTGACATTCTTCAGTTGATTTCACAATCCCCAAAGTTATTTTAAATTTCATTTAACATGTAACAAAGGACAGAGCGAACACAATCTTCAAACAAGTGCATGTCTCGAAATCTCTGAAAGGCAGAAGTAACGATGCCATCTCGAGTGCATGTATGTACATTGCATGCAGACAAGAGGGAGTCCCTAGGACTTTCAAAGGTTCCTATTTAAAATCTATTATTACTGTATATTTTTCAGTTAAACATTTTTGAAGCCAGTGTTGAACAGAAGAAACTATAACGACACTTTTTCTCAGCATTTTATTTAAATGTTAAGATCAGCAGAAGCAGCATCATGCTCTGTTGAAACAAATAAGCATTTATAAAATTGACAATAAATTTAGAAACAAACTCTGTGACAATGTCAATGCTTGTTTTTTCATGTATAATTATATTAATCATTATATAATTTCATGTTAACATTATTTAACTTCATGTTGTTGTCAGAGCTGTGTGCTGTCTCAAAAGTATCCAAGAAAGAAATTGGACGAGCTTTCAAATTGATTCTTAAGATAATCAACACGAGCGTCGAGCTCATCTCCACTGGAGACTTCATGGTAGTGGAGGCTGAATTTTTTTGTTTTGTCATTTTTTGATTTCAAACCATCCACCTGAATGTTTAGCTCATGAAATGCATAGATTAGTTCTTATTATGTTATAAACATGCATAGATTATTTCCTATTATAATCTCTTATACAAATTATCATTTGTTCATTAATTATAGAAACTCTCGCTCAATTATTCTTGGCTAATAACTGTCTGCTCTACTATACTCTGCATGTGTTGTTAATCAAGTTAAACATTTTTTGCATTCCACCAGTCGAGATTTTGTTCAAACCTTGGCCTGTCTGCCGCTATCCAAAAAGCTGCCATCCACATTGCTGATAAGGCTGTATTGCTGAACCTCGTTGCAGGGTTTGTATAACTTTTTCTAAATTTGTTGTCAGTTGATTTATAAGAAACAACATGCATGCACTATGACTAAATATTCATAAACAATCATAATTGACTGATGATAAATTGACTGCACTGCAGACGTAGCCCGGTATCTGTTGCAGCAGCTGCAATATACATGGCATCTCAAGCATCGGATGACAAAAAAACAGCAAAAGGTTATTTTTTACGAATTTTAACTTATGTTATGAACATGAACTCAGTTATGCCCAATCCGTTTTGGGTTAGAACCAAATGACTGATTCAAGCATGCTTTTTAAGACCGAGCCAAATAATATGGAAGTTAAGCCTTAATCTTCACTACAGATGATCCATTAAAATCCACATATCCACATCAGGATAATTCCAAACTGCTCAGTTTTTTCAAAGTAATATTTAATTATGAACCATTATAATTTCAGAAATTGGAGACGTGAGTGGGGTAGCAGAAGTGACAGTGAAGCATGCATACAAATCCATGTACCCCAAAGCCCATGATCTTTTTCCGGAGGATTTCAAGTTCTGTGTGCCTGTCGAACAGTTGCCTTCAATGTGAAAACATATAGGCATTGACATTTGTATGCATTTGTATATATTTGTTTATAAATTGACGTTCGTTTTTCTTTTTATTGTGCAGTTGAAAACCTCAAGCGGTAGCTTTTGGAAATTTTTTATCCCTGCATATTGAGAACATTTTGAGTTTGCGTTTAAGTAAATGGGTTTTAGGGAGATCATTCACTTATTTCAGCAACAACACACACAATATATGTAAATTATAGCCCTCTGCTACATATCTATATACCTGTAAATTATAGAAGCATTCACAAATGAAAAATAAACTGTTTAAAAAAATTTTACTTGTTAAGTCGTTAATGGTTTTTCAAACAACATCTGTTACACTTTATCTGTGTCTTTAATTTTCATCTAAAATTGCAGCTGCGAAAACGTCGGGGTTGAAATGCGGCTTGAAACTTTCAACCGCAACCGCTAGAATTAAAACCGCAACCGTCTGCAACGCCGGAATTAAAACCGCTCAAAACTACGGTTGCCACTAACCACACGTGTCTCTGATAAGAATGCGTATGAAAACCATGCATCACAGAGATCTTTTTGCATTCGAACCGCCTCACCACAAAGCGAGGCTAGGCGCCTTTAACCATTATGCCATCACGCCAAATCATGTGGATATTGTGTGGTCAATCATTTGAATTCTAACTCGTAATTAGTTTAGTCAAAAAAAGTGTTTTGACTTGCGCCGCTATTACGCAATGGTATACTATGCTATCTGTCCGGAGCTCAAAGACTCATACTCTTATGATGCAGTGCTTACGTGTGCATGTACGGCGTGGATAGTACAACCTTTGTGGCCCGAATGTTTGATTACATGAATATAGAATAACATGTAACCAAAGACGGCTGCGTCATGAAGATAAAAAAAAACCTACTATAGTTTTACCACAATAAAAACTTAGCAAAATATACTTTAATAAATAATTGTTGTATTCTATAACCATTGACGAATAAAATGATACAAATTTACATTATCTTTTATTGGTTGTAATTAAAAAACTAAACAGCAACGCGTAACAATTTGGCAGCTTTAAGTTCTTGAAGTTCAAGTTTTTGTTTTTCAACAATTTCTCGCCTTTCTTTGAGGAATTGGGCATAAAAATTTTCATCAAGTTCCTCAACGACTTCAATGCCACATGAATGGGCCGTTCCTATAATTGACTGACAAATTTCGTTTAATGGTACATGTTTCCAACATGGGTCTGCTGATTTGATGGCAGCGATTTCATAGATGTGCTTCAGGCTTACGAAACCTGACACTTCACGTCCTGCAGAGAAATTTAAAATAGAAACATCTCAATAAATTATACAAAGTGCTGGACAATGTTTGGCACAAACATTTTTTAATGTTTAAACTTTAAAATTTTTAGTGAACCTGTTTTCATGGCTCCCCTGTCAATGCCTGCTGCCAGTTTCAAGAAATAAGAAACTGGAGGATTGTGAATGACCAAATTGTAAGATCTGTCAGACTGAATTATTTCAAGAGATAATATTCATTCATGTAAAAACTATGTTTTATATTTTCTTCCCATATTAAAATGCTAGAAATATTAAATCAATTTGACTTTTACTCAGTTGAATGAAACATTTTGAATTTCTGGAAAAAACAAACATTTATTGTTATCCTAGTTGGCAGTGGTGTTCCTTCTTTAATGTTTTTGGTTTTTTCATTGAAATCTTTACAAAAATTGGCAATTTGAATATTTCTCTGTCAAAAATTCAATTGAACTGTATATAAATTACATGTGACATATCAACGCGCACACACCCCACACACAAACACACACACATACAAACACTAAAAATACCTATAGAAAGTTTATAATTGTTTGAAGTAGTATTTAGTAAAAACATTGAATTACAAAATGGAATTGAAATATAGCTCTTTGAACATTTACAGCACCATTTAAGCACCATTAAAATCTACATGATCTAAATCTTTTTTATTTATTTTTTTTATATTTAACATTATATGTTTACCATAGTTTCTTTAGGCCAATGTCAATGCCATAGCTCTATGAAGTGCTAGATGTAATTCATACATGACATGTTGTTTAATGATCTTTTAAATACTAATTCAAACAGATAAAAATTTACAATGTGTTATAATTCAATTCCTATGCCTACATATAAAAAATGAAAGAGCCATATGGATCCATTTTTTAATTTACAACACGATATGATATATACGTATAGTATATGTACAGATACAAAAAGCTTTTAAGAGCTTTTTAAAATGTTCATTACATTTTTCGACACTATATTTTTATAGTGATATTACAATGGTGATGTTAAAATTATTTATATATTTTAAAACTCTTTTCAATTTTGAAAACATTCTTATATTTTTAAATTATTATTAAATCATTTTTCAAAAACGACTTTCTTAACAATTATTTATTAATTTTAACTTTTAGTTATACAGTGGGAGGTATTTTTATATATCATTTTAATAATTAATTAAATTAAAATGTTAATCTAAATTTTAAATTTAAAAAAACTAATAAAATACATGATACATGAAAGAAAATCCTGTCTAAGTCAAACTAAATTACTAAAACCAAGGACAAGAAGGACTGATCTCCACTTTTACCATAATAATGGCATGTGTGTAATTAAAAATAATATTACTCTAATTAATTTTTAATTGTAAAACTAAAAGTAAAATAAGGAAATCACTTGTCCAAGCTGGGTCCCTAATGGTGGGGCTGGTGAAGCCAGTCCGGCCGGAATCGTTACGGATAAAAATGGTGGGTGATTAATTTTTTCGGAAATTTTTTTCATACCCTTTGCTACAACTTTCGACATTTTCTTCGAAGCCATGTTAGCACGATTTCTACAGTCTCAAAGTTTTTCTAAGCAACATACACCTGCACGTACAACTCAAATCAACTACAATTGTATTGGCGATCAACCGCACGTATTAATTACAATAAATTTGAAAGTGCATCGAATATTGACTGGGTTTGACTAAAGGCGGAAAATTCAATCAATCAATCAATTAGTTTATAAAGCGCTATTTACGCGATGTTCAACAGCGCTCCTCAATGAATTTTGCAAACTGATGGGTCTTGAGATCCGCTAAACTTACTAAAGTGAATATTTAAATAAGATCATTGTTGATGCAGCATCCGGGTTCGAATGTAAAGAGATCCCCAACTATCGCATGCAGAAGTATGAGATGCGTCAATTCGCGTGCATTTATATACTGTGTGTTTGTAATCATAATGCGCCTCAAACAGAGCGCACAAACATCATAACCCGGAGGTGATGTTGCATTTCGGCAACTGCAGTGATAAATTAATTCACTCTGCGTCGTAGTTAATTTTACCAAAAGAGGTGAATGTTTGGGAACCACGAAATTCGCAGTATGAAGTTGAGCAATATTTGTAAAATGTTGAACTTATGGAATTTTTTATTCGATTTATTTTTAAAAAAGAAAACAAGCGCTTCTATTTTGAGAGCGTATTATACATACTTACAAACAATATATATATATATATATATATATATATATATATATATATATATATATATATATATATATATATATAGTTATTTAAGAAATATCACAGCATTTTCCGCATTGTTGAGTTTGTAACTAAGTTTTTCATTTTTTCAAACAATTATTTTATCTGATGATGGTAAAGGTTACCGAAAAAAACTTTTATGTAAATGTATTTATAAAAAATGAAATATAAAATAATTACAAATTTTATTATTATTTTGAATAAATTGAATAATATCGATAAAATAATTGCTCGAAAAATTGAAAAACTTAGTTACAAAGTCAACAATGCGGAAAACGTGGTGATATTTCTTAATAACTGTATATACGACAGTCTGAATACAAATATATATATATATATGTATATATATATATATATATATATATATATATATGTTTTGTTTGATTGAATAAAAGTGATTTGATTTGATTTGATATATGTTAGTAATAGACCATAATTTTTACAATATTCCATAAATTCTACCGAATGTTTGGCGTAAACCTGGGATTGAATTGCACCAAAGTAATATACCAGAACAGCAACTACACGCATCTTAAAATTGCAGAAGCAGTCCTAATCGACATCAATAAACCAAAAATAAATATACAACAAAAAATGACAACCTCACTTCCAACCCAGCGCTTAACACCAAAGTAATATACCAGAACAGCAACTACACACATCTTAAAATTGCAGAAGCAGTCCTAATCGACATCAATAAACCAAAAATAAATATACAACAAAAAATGACAACCTCACTTCCAACCCGGCGCTTAACCAACAACGAAAACAAAGAAGTAATAAAAACTAGCATCGTAAATAGTGACAAAGAAGAATATGATGCTATCGATGAAGAAAAGGAGACCAAAGAAGATGACCAGCCAATTAAGAAACCTGACACCTAATTCGCATCAAAGTTCAATTTTACAACACCAAAGTTAATTTTTACAACGTCAAAGTTAATCTTGACAAAGTCAATATTTCCCTATATATACAACAGGAGCACTGACGATGATTCATTCGGAATCGAAATATGGCCTTATTTGCAGCATGAATTCGAAAAATAAGTTTATTTTGAATTTTAATAAACTAAACGTTCACCAAAAGCTTTATTGAGAAAAATCGAAAAAACGAACTACAAACATATTAACGCCAAACATTCGGTAGAATTTATAGAATATTGTAAATATATATATATATATATATATATATATATATATATATATATAATATATGTTGGTAATAGAAATGTATATATTCATTTATTTATATATATATAGAGAGAGAATTTATATATGCCTTAATATTACTCAAAGGCATTCTTGAACTTAGTGGAAATGATGCATACAAAAAAGCGTTTTTAGATCATTACAAAATTAACTTTCAAAACTGGTTGGTGCAGACTTTTTGTTACGGGCTTCCATTTCCTATATCATTTTTCATCCCTTATTAAAGTTCTTTCGACCGTTTCATTCCGCCATTCCTTTATGTCGTGCTGGCCCCTTCCTTATCTGAAATATTGTCTTAGCTGCATTCGGCATGCTATTTTTCACTCTAGCCCATGATTTCTCTACACCCAGATCCTTATCAACAATGTTACTTCCCGTTTGAACCATATTTTGATATGCTTTCATGGTTTCCGGTTTTCTCAATTTCCAAGTTTTATTTCTGGGCTCTGTAATCTTTTTTGTCTTTCCCTCCCGTCTTAGTATAAATCACATGCCAGGAGCTTATACTGCTTAACACATTCTTCACCAAAAAACGTTCTGACATTTTTTAAACGCCTGTGGCTTTCTCTTTTAACAAAAATGAAATCTACTATGCTTTTGACCTTCACTGATTTATACGTTAGTAAATGCAATGGTTTATTCTTAAACAAAGTGTTGTAAATAAATCCTCATGTTCATGGCGATTCCAAAATCTAAAATTTTTTTCACCATTTTTGCTTCTTTCTTCATACTTTATTCAACTGTTTACTGGTTCATAACAATTACATTTTTTCCCTAAAATATCCATTTAAGCCTCTAAAATCAATTTTTTTAGGTATCTCAATCATCATTTCATTTGACTCATCCTAAAATTTATTTTTACCCTATTTTTTTACCGCTTTGATGAGTATATCCTGAAATTATATTTAACAACCCCTCTCCATGTGATAGTTTTAACATCATGCACATGTTGCTGCCCCTTACTACTCCAGCCACCTTATTTATCCAAGGTTCAATTATCTTTATTTCCACTCTTGCTTCAGCTTTATAATTTTTTCGTCCAAAATAATTTATACTTTTTTTGGCTCTTTTATTAGTCTGGTCCGTTGTTTCTTCCATCGAACTTCTTGTAATCAGCATCCTATCTACTATTTTCTTAATAATGTTTCAGTAACTTATATGTTCTTTCAGACAACGCACCTAAATTCCAAAATTGGAGTCTCACACTGGCTAATTTTTTATTTAGTGGGTACTGCGTGTTAACGTATTGTGCTACTACAGAATCGGACGCATTGCTTGCCCTGCTTCGAAAGGGTCACAAGCTCTTTTGACGTCCTGATGACCTCTACAATAATAATTTATTCAGCGAAACACAAACAGACTAACGCTTGTTACACCACCCTGTATAAAAGAGAAAAGAAAAAAAAGATTTTCAAAATTCAACAAAAACAATTGAAAAAATTGAACTACTAAATAACCAAAAATACCTAAGATCACCTATAATAATATGACAGTAGTTGCAAAACTTGACAGTAGTTGCAAAAAAGTGAATATTTAAATAAAATCATGAATTTGACCCTTAAATAAACTTAGAGAAGCAGAATTCTTAATGTAAACAAGTAATACATCCAAAGACGAATAGACGCAGAAAGAACAGAATTAAAGAGAAGTTTGTATCGGGAGTTGGTAATAAAAATCAGGTGTATTTCTTAACACGGTAGAGCGACTATTAAACAAGCAACATAGATGATTATGAAGAGAAGGGCAATAATTTAACTTGTGTAATTTATAAAAAATAACAAAGAATAGAAAATATGTAATAGGTTAATATTTAAGATTTCATATATAGAGTAGTAAAAACGAATATGATTAAATTTATTTAGACCATAAACAATACTTTAGAAGTAATTTTGACATGTATTGAGAGCGTGAAGATTTGGACGTAAGCCAGAAACCCCAAATGGAAATGTAACATAAAAGATATATCAGAGATATAAGGTATATAATATACATGTGGTTTTTTTTTATGTCTCTTTCTCTCTCACTTTCTATATATATATATATATACATACATATAATTAGAATAAATATAACGGCCTTCGCTCATTTTTGACGGTCGAGCAAGGAGCTTACTTCCGGAGGGGAATTGGAGGGTGATTTTTTATCGCCCAAGTCTAAAATTATGATCGTTTATTTACTAATTTCGGAATATTGCTTTTATTTAAAATGTTTTGAAAGGTGATACTAGATGCTGTTTTAGGATAGATATTGCTGTATGACGGTTTTTGCATTTTAAATTAAAAAAATTTTTTGTGAACTATTCTAACACTTGACTCGTTAACGATTAACTGTGTGTAACCGGTAAGGGTAACGTAACATTAACGACGACTAATTAGTAATTAAATTACTAAACTCTAATAATTAAGCTAAAACTAAACTACTAATTCTAATTAAAATAAATAACAGATAGCACTAATCATTAGACTACTAGAGACTACCAACCACTACACTACTACATACTACAACTACTACACTAACAGCACTTGTTCCTAAAATCCTAAATCCTATTGCTTGATTGGTTGTAAAATTTTTACTTAAAATGCTTAGGCCTGGGAATAAAGAATATACTAAATTAAATAAATATATTAAACAACTTATCAATCAATTTTATAAAATAAACAATTTTGTTTAATTCATGCTTCAAGCTCCTCAAGCTAATATTGCAATTTAATTAAAATTTATTTATCATGATATGAGTGATTCAAACTAAATTTTTTTTCATTTAATGTTTTATAAAATATTCCTCATTCTTAAATTATATTACATGTTGTTATTAAATTTATTAAAGATGTCCTGGTTATGACAATGTCCTGGTTATGACATTAAACTGACCCTCACTGCCTTGTGAGTGATGTTGGATCATCAAAGACTAGGCCCACCGCTTATAACTGTGGTTGCGTAAGGAAGGGCGTCCTGCGTAAAAATTAGCCAAATAAATTACTTATGATGACAGAAGTGACAATGGCCCTCAGTATCTGAATGGCATCGAGGGGTATTTTGGTTTCATCATAGGTAGCCAAACGGCAACCCCCTATCTCGGGGAAAATGTCGTCTAAACGTGTGTTGTTGTTGTATTAAATTTATTAAAGATAATGTGTGATTCCAGTGATTCATCATCCATGACTTGTTAGATCATAATCATTCAGTTTTAAAGTATCCCCATCACCATAACCAATGAGGTTAGTAGAAATTGCAGTTAGAATGTTGTGTTATTAATTATCATTAATTTACTAAATGCTGCGCATACCTATGGCAAGTAAATAAAATGATTAAGCATATAAATAGCCACAATCAAATTAATTTATACAGGCACCTATATGATTTGGATAATAATAATTAAAAATATTGGTATCATTGAAAATAAATAGTCATAAATAAAAAATAAATCATAAGTTGCTAAAAATAATAGTTCCTGTAAGATTTTGCCTTACACCTACATCTTTTTTTCATTCTTATATTGTAATAAATGTTTGTTATCAAACATATCAAGGACAATGAGTGATTTCTCAATCCATGACTAGATTGAATGTCATGATCCTACAGTTCCAGAAGATCCCCATCACCATTAGTCAATAAGGTTTGTAGAAATCACCCCAGGCTTACTTACCATCAATGTTTTGTAGCCACCTTTTAATGTAGTGTTAATAAAATGACATTGAGAATAGTTATTTAAAACAATCTTATTAAAATTATTGAACAGGTATGACAAGATTACTTTCTTAATGTCCTAGTTTGAGGAAGATGTAGACCATTTGTCCAAAGATAATCATATGCCTTAGGCCCATCCATACAAATGCAGTGTCAACACGAATGAATTTTGATCAGAGTCATATGTTCTAATTTTTTTAAACTTTTCCAGAAATTTTTCTGTTAATTTATTTGTTTCATTAAAAACTTGATGTGTATTTCATATAAAAAAAACTTGATTATGCCAATTTAATTAACTTGTTAAGCATTAATATAAAATTGACTCTACTTGTAATGGTGATTGGTATGATGATGATGATCCCAGTCCTAAGCAGGGTTTATTATTCACAATGTCATTATGCCCTTTCTAAGTTTTAATAAAATACTTGGATAATATTGTTGAATGCATTTTATATTTTTTGTATAGATAAGAATGTTGCTATGTACAATGATGATGTGAATTGCTTCCTTGTGTAACTGATGACATATAAATATAACTAACTTGAAAACATGGGAATGTTTCCTTCAGCATTCTTGCATTTTTTGATGGAAGCCATTTGAAATCATTTATTTCCTATCTGATGCACTTACTAAATCCAATCGTTTCGCATTTCTACATTTTGAGGAAATCTGAAATTTTATAAACTTACAGAAACTTGTGCATTTCTTAAGTATTGCTTTTAATAATAAAATGGTAATTCATGAGAGCATTATTATAATGATTATAAAAATATAAATATAATAGTCTATAAAATAAAATATATGTAATTGTAAACAAAATAGTTCTATTCAGTGAGTATAGGGATAGTTGTTACATTTATTTTAGTGTGAAGTTAAATTTGGAAATAAACTTGTGAAAAGATGCATCAGAAAGTTTCTTATTTCTATTTAAAATTAAAATAAATTAATCATTGAATGCAATTTTAATGCTACTGGTAGGCATGTCTGTATAGCTACAAAACTAAAATTTACTTAAAAACTAAATTATTGTATCTGACACGAGAATTAGTAAATATACAAAAACTGAAAAACAAATGACAATATAAAAATTTAAACATTTATTGAAAGAGTTTATTCAGTCAGAAAAATTAACAAAACAAGAACGAAAAGTAAAAAAGCTTCAAATTACACCATTAACAACAATTTTTCAGTCATTACAATTTGTAACAAAATTTTAGTTTTTTTTAAATTTTTATTTAATGTGATAATTAATAATTTTCATTTGGTTTAAATTTAAAAAAATAAAATCAACATTATCGAAAATAATTAAAAGTTGAAAAAATTGAGGTTCTTTGCCTATCTCAGCTTCAACCCATAAGAAAGTGCTGTATGTTGGTAAAGAGGCCTCCCTTTGTATATATATAAATATATATATATATATAGAAAGAGAGAAAAAGAGAGAGAGAGTTTATATATATATACCTATAACAGGTAAATTAAAGATTTATATGCGGGGCTATCTCATTTTATAACCTGCTTAAATATGTTTTTGATTCTACTAATGTTTTTATGATTTATCTATGAATTAAAATTATAATTAATATATAACAATAACTCAGTCAGCTTTTTAGTTACAAACTCTATTATTCTACCAAAACAACCCTGTTTGGTTTTTTTTTATGACAAGCTCTGAAAGTTTTTCTTAGATGATTGAATAGAGGTTTGCTTCAATTTTTTCAGTTAAGTTACCAGTAAACATTGATATTGTAATATGGTTATTGAAATTGTTCATCATAGATTTTCAATAATTGTTGCTTTTTTAAAATACTTACTCCCTATAGAGCCACACACACACACACACACACACACACACACACACACACACACACACACACACACACACACATACACGCACGCACGCGCACACACACACAACACACACTCACTGAGTTTCACAAAGAAAGAGTGAAATAGAACTGTAACCTTTTTATCAAAGAAAGTATTCGCTACAGCATTGCAAGATGCGGTATCCTACCCGCCTGAGCCAACCAAATTACAAAAATGTGCAATTAGTGACTTTTTTAATTAGGACAAAAATTTTAAAAAATATGGATAACAGTAGTGGAGAATGGAAACGGATACTTGATATTAGATTATAAACATTCAATATTTCAATATATTTATTATTTGGCTATCAATAAAATTATAATACTCGGATTTATCAACTGATTGACGACATCCTCTGACCTGCTTTCAAGTGGCTATTAGTAATCTGTATCTTCAACTAACTGTCGTTTATTACTTTAATAATAATAATGATAACAACAACAACAATAATAATAATAATAATAATAATAACAATATAATAATAATAATAACAACAACAATAATAATAGCTAATATAACGAAAATAATAAAAAACAATAATATGGTTCTTCCCCCTAAAAATAAGTCGTAGATTGCTTAAGAATATTTGACAGAGTGTGTATGTAGCACATATGTCTCGATGTAGTAACGTCCGCAGATGTTACGCCGAGACATCTGTGGTATGCAGTAGTAGCGGTAGTTACGTACCGAGCAGAAGAACATTGCATAGCGTTATGAAAATAACAGGAAGTGGCGTTACAAAATGTTTACGATTGGTCCACAAATGACGCACTTGTAGAATTAGTTACATTAGCAAAAAATTTATGGATAAATGATCAAGAAAATTAAATAATGTCTCAACAGAGAATGATTAATATTAATTTCTAAAACGTCACAAATAAACAAAACAACATATGCACAAATAAACAATGTGTTAAGTTATGCATGACCATTTCCTAAACTAAAGGTATATATAAATATATATATATATATATATATATATATATATATATAATATAACAACAACAACTTACAGATATACAAAAGAATTAACAAGGCGATATATGATCGGATTGTTGCACTGTTGAAAACCACCGTAAGCTCTTGTTGATAAAGAACAAAATATAACATGCAGTAAAGAGCGTTAAGAGAGATTGTATTTGGTAGCCTGAAATACATGAACCCTTATATTTCATTGATCGCCAGGGCAACAAAAACTGAATGTATAAAATGTTTGTAGATGAAACAAGATGATTTGTTGCCATGGTGTTGCTTAGTTAAACAACCTCAAGAATCTGAAAACACAACTCAGTTAATATGTGTTTTTGATTATTCTTTAATTTTCGGATCATTACTAATTCGCTGTTATCCTGCCATAGTTGCAGTATGAAAAATGTTTCGCAAGCTTTCATTTAGTTTCTCTTAGTGTTGATAAGGGATAAAATGTATTACAACGTCTAAATATCGTTTTGTTTTTTGTTATCGTTAAAATTTAATTGAAATTTTTGCAGTAATATAAATTTATTTTTTAATTATAATTTTAGATTGGGACTGGATTCATGGATCGATGTAAAAATCATTTAAAGAAATTTCGTAACAAAAATAAAAAAAATTGAAACTGCAAAAATAATTTGATTGGAAATGTCAAGTTCATCTGATAGCGAAGAGACAACAAGCTCATCCGATTGCAGTGACAGCAGTAGCGAAACTTCTGAAGAAAGTTCAGGAACAACGAGTTATGATAAAGAGGAAGACGAAACAACGGCCACAACATTCATTTCCTCTTCTAAACCTTCTGTCTCGCTTTCTTGCTTTCATAAAAATAGACAACCAATAAAAACGTCAATTACCAGCAGAAAATGCATTTCTACCGAGTTGTTGCAATTTTTCACTATTAAAGATACTATTCCAAAATTAAATAACGCTGACAAGTTACAAGAAAAAAACAAAAAAATAATAAGTTTTAATAATGAGATTGGAAAAACGGAAAAATCTAGAAAAAATGATAGCGAAGAGGATAATATTAAGAAATTGATTTCTTTGCTGGAAGAGTTGAAAAAAAGCACTTTGTTGGGCGATTCTATGCATCAAGTTTCAAAAAATGTTGAACAAAATTGTGCAGCAAACAATGAAACTGAAAATATTTTTGTCGATTTTGTAACGCAGTTGGTTTTGGCGCATTTACCGAAAGCGCAGTTAAATGAATTTAGTGGTGCTAATAACAGTTTGAACGTATACAATAACACTACTTCGTTTACATCAGGTCAGCATAACAACTTCATTCCAGATCTAAATATGATAGAAAAAGTCACAGGAACACGTTCCCCTTATGTTTCTCCGCCGGCCAACAACGTTGAGAATCATCAAAACCAGGGCAGTTGCAGTCAATTTAATAATAATTTTGGCCATAATGTCAAATTGTACGAGTATATGAATAATATAAACAAACAAAGTGGCAGTATGGCGAGTCAAAAAGAAAATTTAGAAAATATCAATACTGGCGAATTAGTTAAAACAATGCTAAATACAAGTTTATATTCAGATCGTAGCTCGCAAAGTTTTCAAATTCCTCAAAGAAACACGTTGGGTGCTGCTTTCAGGAAAGACATCAACATCAACCGAGATATCATTGGAGACGTTTTGAATACCAGGTTTTCTTCTCTACAGTCATTTAACGAATCGAGGCCGAACAACGACGTTGCCTGTTCAGGACGAAATTCTTGCAGGCTTGGTGTTTCTAACGAGAATCACATTAGTTCATCTGTCAATACAAATGATGAAAATTTGAGCACTGGCGTTTCTAATGCAAACAATTTTTCAGCCAGCAAATCGTCAAAAAATAATGAGACTTTTGATTCCAAAATTACATTTCTGGGTCGTCGTGATACCAATAATATTTTTTCCAAGTTGTTACCCGAGCAAAGTTGTTATTCAGGCCCAACAAAATTTGCAGATAATGAAGTGACTCAAAGTATGGCTTCTGCAAATTTTTATAAATTAACGGATGATTCCAAAACGTCTAATTTTTTAAATAATGATTGTTGGGAAACCTACAATAAAAAATTAGAAACGTCAAAAAATTGTAGCCGCAATATTTTGAACAGTTGCAAACAGCATTACGATACGAGCGATGTTGGTTTAACCAACTTGATCAATGAATCGCTAGCGGCGTGTCGTCTGGCAGATGTTGAAACGAGAACTCAACTGCCAATGTCTAAGCAAAACAAAGACAACTTTTTTGATAGCGATTATGAAAATTCGATTAAAAAATTGCTGGTCAGTCGGTGCGTACAAACTTCATTCAATCCTTTAAACGGTGACAGGAAAAATGAATACGATGCATGTTCATATGGAGATATAAGGAAGATAAAAGAAAAGAAAAAATTTTTAGTTTCAACAGAATCGGCTTTAGAAAATGAAAAATGCAAAAACAGCCTTAAAATTGTAAACTGCAAGAAAGACAAAAATGAATTAAAAAAATCAGCTGAAGATTGTTCTGAAAATGATAAAAAGTGTATTTTTGAATCGGATTTGTTTGAAATTGACAGATTAAATGAAGGAAATCAAAAGAACGAATTAAAACGATCTAAAGAAAAGTCTTTGAAAAATGCTTATAAAATTATTTCAAAATTGATTTCGTTGGAAGATGACGAAATAAATGAGAAAATCCACAAGAAGAAATCATCAGAAAATAGTTTAGAAAAAGATGATGATATTATTATAGAATCTGTTAAAATAAAAAAAGATAATAGTGGTAGTAATTTGGAGAATTCCATCGATAAGTGTTGCAAAAAAGACAATAAAATTATTGTTGTTTCAGTGGTGTTAAAAAATGAAATAACGAAAAGTAAAAATGACGAAAATGATTCGAAAAATTTAATAAAAAATTTCCATAAAACTGAGAAAAAAATTATTTCGGAATATAACGTGCTACAAAAGAATTCAAAAACAATTGATAGTTTTGAATTACAGCCTTTAAATTCAGATTTTGAGAGTCGTCTAAACCGGCAAACATCAGCAAAAAAAACAACAACATCGCCGAATCAATCGACGGTTTTGCAAGAGGGAAATGACAGCAACAATCGGAAAACAATAAATAATAAATGCAAGAACGTGGCAAAGAGACGTGAATATTTCGGTTTTAAAAATTATATTGAAATTCCAGTTGATAGGCACTGGAAAAAGCGTCGTAAAACTTCATCCAGAAAAAAAATATCTCGGTGGAATAAAAAATATCACCTATCGTTTAAGCGGTCGTGTAATAAAAAATGCGACATAAAACAAAACACGCAAACACACACTAAATCATCTCCGATCTCTGTGAACATAAAAGACGAAAAGAACGTCAAATCTTCTTTTGACCAGTCAAGTTCTTATAACAACGATCATGTAACCGGTGAAAAAATAATGCAAATCTTAGATAGAGTTTCTACTAGAGAGAGAAAGAATAATTCAGCCTGTTCCTTGGACCCGTCAGATCTCATGATTCATTCTGCTTTAACCAATTCCTTGGAACAAAATTTTATCAAAAATCCGCATAAAGTAAAGAAGGCTTTGTTCCCCGGTGAAATAGAACGAAAAGATTCCATTATGGAAAAATATATGGAGCCGATAACAGGTGAAACTTATTCACAGAATTACTTTTTGAGAATTACAAACTCAGCATGTGCGAAAACAACCGGAAACCCTAGAATAAATTATACTGATGATGGAAAAAATGGATGTGAAAATTTGTTAAAGTTTAATCTGAAAAATAATGTCAAAAGAGATCCCTTGATTGAAACAGTTTTCAGTTTTGAATCGACAACAAATAAATACAAGCCTACAAATAAAACGTCTGAAACGAGCGTTGACAAATCTACATATTTCCCAATAACGAAAGCACTCGATAAGTTAACTCAACCGCAAGTTAGTGAAGCGAATCGTAACGGAAGAAGTTTGAACATGACGTCAAACTCAAAAAATCGTTTTAACAGTCATCTGTCGTCTTCGGTGCAAAATATTCAATTCGACTTCGATAATATAACTTCAACTAGTAGTTCTGAAGAGTGTCATGAAAGGGCTTTTAGCGAAAATTCTTTAAAAAATGCAAGCTCTTTTATTTTTCAATGTGACAGGAATATGTTGAAACACCGTGCAGATGTGCAAAAAACCCAACCCGTAAAAGTAGAGACCACGAAGAAGAAGCGCAGTTTTGTTAATTTAGTGAAGAAAAAAATAAGATCTAAAGGCAAAACTACATTGAATGCTTTTCAGTATAATCAAGCTAAAAATAAAAACAAATCATGTAGAAATTCAGGAGGCTATTTCTATGATACAAAAATTGGATTGTTGAATTCAAATGCTAACTGTAAACAAATATGTGACGCTAACGATAATTACATTAATGTTATTAATAACATCAACAGAGTGGAACTCTCCAATAACAACAGCATTAATAATAACAATACTAATAATACCATTAACAATAATAATAACGAAAACACCATTAAATATAATGTGAATAAAAATGACTCCACAGACACAAATGGATCAATAGAAATCCAGCAAGCCTGCCGCCCCATTGTGCCGTTGAAGCAGACGGCTCACCTGGACGAAGAAGATCCGTGGAATGGGGAGACTTTACTCATGAGGGCTGTCCTCAACAAATCCCACAAACAAGTTGAAGATCTTTTATTTGCTGGCTGCACGATAGACCGCATCGATTATAAAGGTAGAACGGCGTTGACGATATCAATCAGTCTCGTTGATGTTAGAAGTACTTGCATGTTGCTCAAGCACGGTTCTATCTTTAGAAACATTAAAGCTTTACAGGCTGCATATGCCAGATGTTCTGATGTGGTTGAATTCATTAAATTAATGTTCATAATTTCTTATTGTGGAATTAATTTATCAAGAAATATAAAATGGTGGGAGGAAACACTTATAAACGTTGCTGAAAATTGCTTAAAAAATTACAAAAACACAACAGCTGGATTGATGTACTTGGAAAAAATAAAATTTATATCCCATCTCTGTCACCAGCCACCGACTTTGCTTACAAGTTGCATGTTGACTGTTCGAGGTCATTTACTGAAATTGAACAAGGGCAGATCCATTGTTGACTTAATTTCTCACCTACCGTTACCAAAACGTTTAATTTCAATATTATCGTTAGACAATATTGAACATTGCGACAACATAACATTTTGAAATTGTAAATTTTTATCACATTTTTTCAATTTAATATAAATTTGAAATATTTTGTTACCTTTATTTTAACAACTAAGCGCATTTTAACATCTGTTTGAAACTACTGAAATAACGCGAATAAATATAATAAAATAAAATGTTATTGTTTTGATGTAGAAAAGGTGATTCAAACATCCGTAGAGAACTTCACAGCTGATTCCATCAATTTTCTTTAAATCAACTGGTTACGTATTTTTAATAGTGGCTAAGCTAAGAGATAAAAAAACTTATTCCTTAACTTGAAGTGAGATGTTTGAACAAGGTAGCGTCAAAATGCAAATCTTTATGGTTTTTTACACACAAAAAACGTTTTTGAGACATTTGACATTAGACTGATTACTTTTCTGCTTAAATGCAATTTCAAATTAAACTGCAACAAGTGCTGAAAATGATTGAAAGATCGAAAGAGGTCCTGTACACTCGAGAATGAATTGGAAAACTGTATATTTATTATTCTAACTTTAATAAAATAAATAATGACGGCAAAAATTCAGTTAGAAATATTGAGAAAGGTGATAAAAAAAACTATCCAGCGGTAGGAATTTGGTAGATTTCATAAATTACTATATATATATATATATATATATGTATATATGTATATATATATATATATATACATATGTTTGAAGGAGGCCATATTTTATACAATATCGTATAAATTCACACAATCACAACATGCAGCTCCGGTAACCTGCCAAATTCTTGACAACAACACAAAAATAATTTATCAAAACAATTTATTTGGTGTTGGGATAGGTGTAGGCCTATTAACCCAATCTTCGCAACTGCTAGAGTGCCTCGACAGTTTGCGCGACCATTTTTATGCTGGGACACGTCCGAGCCAGGATTCGTCATAGGATAATGACTTGTCATTTAGGTTGGAAACACTTGCCAACAAGGGTCATTTAGCTGTTGCCACTTCTCTGCCGCTTTGAGGCGCAGGTTGGATTTGAGTTGCCACTACCCTGTAACATTGAAGGGCCCACTTCTGACACCACTGTTGTGACTCCTCCTTGATCTCGTATCTACCAACACCGATGTTATAGCTTCAATAATCTCTATATCTCCAACACCGTGTTGTAGATGCCAACGAGAGTCAAGAGTTCGTTTATCCGTAGGTTTAAGATTTCCGATAGATGAACACAACTACTTCAAACGCAAACTTTGTTGAACGTTTATTTGAATATCATCATTGTTGCCGGTTTGTGTATCTGGTGTGTTGCATAGACACAATTTTACAACCACTACCCGCCATAGGCCAGTGTCGTCTCTCACGTTTCATCTCTCACGAGACTCGCCAGTAGCCTGCCGAATAAGGTTTAAGATAACACAACTCTATTATTGTAACCAAGAAAGGAAAATTGAGGTGTCGCGACCAATAGGTAGGAACAACATCGCGTTGTTATAAGGCTTAAGAACCCATTCAGTCGCAAGAGGTATTATTGGTAAACCACTACCCACCGTAGGCCAGACGTACGTTTCGTCTCTCACGAGACTCGTCAGTAGCCTTTATATATATATATATATATATATATATATATATAATATATATTTATTTATTGATATAAATATATATATAGGCTGTCGTAAAGATGTCCTCGCATGGAATCATAGGCTTAGTTTTTCAGGCTGTCATCCGGGGGGTTAGGTAATAAGAAAGAATGAAGAAATAATGAACAAGAACGTCTTCCAGTGTCTACCAGTGTTGATATGCTAACTCGCCAATATTTTTTAATGTACGACGTATTTGTTCAAGTTTCAATTTTTTGGGTTTGCAACTAATTTATTTTAATATGATATGACTTAATTTGTGCTTAATAGCATTTTTATTTTTGATTATTACATTTCATAGTAATAAAAAAAAAATGTACTAATTGGGTGGCACATGCAAGATCAACGTCTTCCAGTGTCTATTTGATGTTGCACGAAATACAAAGATATGACACACACCAATAGCCTGCTTGCATGATGTATAATCTTTATAAATCTGGCCCGTTCGCCAGGAAGCCTATATAAGTTCTGGAGTAGTTTGCTGTGATGTGATGTCATTTAAACATTTATGTCAGAATGGAATGTTTTGTTTCCCTTTGTTAATGTGGTTTCTATAACTAATTCAAAAATTTTATCAAGATGAAAGAGAAGTTATAAAAATTAAAAAACTTAAAAGCATGTTGGAAATATTTTCTCTTTTGTTTTTGTTTGTCTCCGTCTCAATCAACGGTAACGGGGTTTTGTCGTTGGATGCCAGTTACAACCCAAGAACCGGTCATGCAGCTAAGAGAAGTAACGATGCAAACAATTCAACTTTGTTAGTTTTTCATGAAGATCTGCTGGAGAGAAGAGTGAAATCATCAGACGTCATCTTTATCGGGACGATCGTTAAATTGGATGACAAAAACAAAATCATAAACGATGCTCAAAATATTTTAACAAAAAATTACTCGAACGACAACGAGGTGGTAGATTCTAGTACAAACGAGTCAGAATACTTTACATTGTTTTACGGAAATCCCAAGTTAATTGACTCAGATGGAAATGTCAATCTGATGAGAAAAAAGGAAGAAATTGGAAGAAAGAAGATGATGGGTATGGTTGAAGTGGAAAGAGTTCTGAAAGGGGGCTACCTCCTCAGTCTGATGCCTCGCTACGGCAGGATTACTAAGGATGATCTGGGACGTGGCATCTCCAGTAAGAAGTGGGTTCTCGTTCACGACATCAATAAGTTTGGTCAAAAATTGAAAAAGAGAACATTAAAGAAAATGCATCTCAATAATAACAATAATAAAATTGCTAATAATAACAACAACGAGCAACTAAAAGTGAACGATACGAAAATTTTCTTCCTCAAAGAAATGCAGCCACAGATGCTTCACCTGAACTCCTCGCTGATTGATGACACTGCAAACAACGTCAAAATGCTGGAATACGTTGTCAGAAGTATGTACAAACATTTTTAATGCGAGTTTTTTCCGTAAACCCTATCCATATAAAGTTATATGCAGATTCCCATAAGTTGTTTTTTAAATTTTTGTGCTGCTCTGACCATCACAGCTGTTTACAATATGACCCTTAGTAGTACCTGCACCATATTAAAGTATTAAAGATGGCTCAATGGTTAAAGGCGTCTAGTTTTGCTGTTTCAATGACTGGGTTCTAATACAAAGAGATTTCCGCCTATCATATGCAATGTGTACGATGCGTGGTTTGCACGCGTATTCATATACGCTGTGTGTGTTTGTCGTTGAAACCTCTGGAGCAAGCGCAAAAGAGAGAGTAATTTTTAACCTTTAATCCTTATTAATAGGGAAATATTGAGCATCTACGTCACACCCACCAGCACAACATACACACGCGCGCACAAGCAGTTAAACATGCCACAGCATTTGAACCAGTTAAGCGGTCGGGACCGACTTAACACCATTACTTTACGATTTTAAACGCCGATTTATAAGCAATATTATATGCAAGATTTTTTTAAGACAGCTTGGAGAATATAAAAAACACTGTCTACCTTCAAAAATTTTTTTTAACCAAATGTGCCATTTAATGCATTCTTTCATTAATATTTTAAAATTTTTTTATACGTGCATGTTCCTTGAAGCATAATTTATATTTTTGCTTAGCTTGTTGGCGGACACAATTACACTTGTTAAAAAATAAAGAAATACATAAATGAATAAATGAATAAATAGACAGACAAACAAACAAATAAATAAAAATAAGCATTCATTTTCTCGCAAACTTATGAATGTTCGTTATAATCAAATTTGAGCGAATTGTTTCAAATAAAATAAGAAAATGTATTTCCAAATCAGAGGCACATGCAAGAGGGAGTGCTGAGGCTCAATTAATTTGTTACTCTAAAAATCAAGTCACCAGGCATGGGAAAGACTGAAAAAGTTCAAACAAATGAACAAATTTGTGTACTGCTGAACTGAAATGCAATGATTTTTGTAGAAAATGTGAGAAAAATAAAAAAAAGGTGTTATGAAATACAAAAATCTAGTTAAGTTAATAATAAATGATTGAATAAATTATTGACTCCAAATGAAAACGCGAAGTAATATTCATCCCCGAACACCATTATCTTTAAAATGAGGCACCTCCCAGGAGATGCAATAATAAACTGTTGTGTGTATCTGGTGTGATGCACTTCGTTGCTCATCATTGTTGCGGGTTTGTTGCCTGCTGGAGTTTATCTTTTCAAATCTGTTTATCACCAAATTTATATTTAAATTCAGCTGCTTTCAATTTTTTGGTTTCATATTATTTATACATTCATGATTTTAATTATTTTTGTCTTTACGTCCTTTTAAAAGTATGCTTGTCAATGTTTAGCTCCTAACTTATCTTAAAATCTTACAAAAATGATCATTACAATCACAACAACATTTCGGCAAATAATCATTGCAACTCTAAACCTTGAAAGCTGATGTTAACGAATAATAATAAGTTTGATAGTTGATACTAAATGGTTTTCTGATTATCATGAAATTTAATTTGTTCGTTAAAACAGCAGGATATACAATAATAATATTAAACCAACGCAATTAATTTGTCAAATGAACTTCTTTAATATTGACAGCACGTTTTTTTAATCAAAAGTTTCCCAAAAAAAATTAGTATTGATAGTTGGACGTTTTTGTATGCAATGTGCTTGCATCGATCTCGATATGTGGAGTGTGTGCTTGCACGAATTTGTGGAGAAGAAAGAATGTGTGTAAATAAGTTGGAGTGCTACGTATTGGAGTGTTCGTTCAGTTCCATTGTACACATTCGTCTGAAGAGCACTTCTTAATAGTTCTCTGTCTCCATCATCATCTTCCCACATGTGCCTCCCCGCCATCATCATCTCTCATCCATGTATCTCCCACCACAAGCACTTCCTCCATCATCATCTCCCCGCATGTAACTCCCCACCTTCATCATCTCTCCACATGTACCCTCTCCACGTGAACCCTTTTCACAAGCACTTCCTGCATCATCATCTGCACACATGCACACACAAAGCGAACGACATTGGCCTCATAGTTTGTGTACGTTTTATTAAGTACACATTGGAAAGTTACCAAGAAATAAATTTGTTCGTGATATAATGCTTGTTCCATTTTCAAAAATTGTAACATAAAATAAATTAAATTTACATTTATTTGAAATTTAAAGAAGAATAAATGAATAATAAAAAAATAAAAACAACTTGTACGTAGCTATCCAACAGGCAGCCTCTATCAAGAACTCCAACAGATGTAAGAAGACTTTTCTTTGTAACTAACCTATTAATCAATTTTTAGCATTTTATTAATTTAATTCATGACAGTTAATGTTTTTATAACGACATAAATAATAATAATAATTATTATTATTATGTTATTTTTTGATGTACTCATTCCAATTGTATCATAGACTATTTTCATGTTATTAATTATTTTAGACGAAATGAAAGAGTTTCTTTTCATTATTAATGTTAATAACGCTTATTGGTTTAAATTTCTATGTAAGATCTCATGATGATAATTGGCAGATAGAAGCAAGTACTTGCAACACTGGAACAGATTACAACTGACGAGGGGTTGGTGCGTTTTTTTGGTTTTAATTTATGAGGGATTGAATTTTATGAAATAATTTTTCTAAATGGTCACTTTTTCAAAGTCAAAATGATAAACAATAATGGTTTTATAATTAGGCGAATATAAAAACATTTTTACTGTAAAAAGTCAAGTGACCAAGTATAAGTGTATTATTATTTATTGTCTATCTAGTAGTGGTCTAGCAGTGGTCCAAAAGGGTCTAGCAGTGGTTTACCTGTGGTCTGGCAATGGTCTAGCAGTGGTTTAACAATGGTCTAGCAGTAACCTACCAAAAGACTAGCAGTAAATTTTTGATTGAAAACTCCAGTTGTGATGATTTCCAACTTTTGGTCAATTTGCACTCTCTTGCTCGAAGTTTTTTTAAATCCTAAGTTATAGTTTGATAAATTTTTTCCCAATTGAAATCCAATTCGAAGTAGCGCTTGAACAAAATCCAACCGATGCAACGTTTTAATCCGAGAAATCGTGCTCAACCAGTTTGTCTAAAAATCCTTTAAAATCTTTTGAAAATGTAATATAATTATTTGAATTTGTAAGTTAAAAACTTGAATTTTATTTTAAAAACTTTTTACATCTTTAACGTGTATTCAATGATTTTAGTAATTTTAAAGTTAAAAAAGATTATTTTTTTGAAATTTGCAATAGCGACAATCTAACAAATAAATGTCTTGCTGGTCGAATGTGTTCGAAACAAACAGAATTTTGGTCGATAATTTCTAAATATTATATTATGCATCATCACACGCTTCCGAGCAACAGAAGAATGTAATCTAACATTGTTTTGTTTGTACAAACCCTCGATGCGCGGGAATGCATTGCAATACAACTCCACACGAATACAATAAAACACCATATAAATTTAACACAATAATAAACAAAACACTAACATACAAATACAATATACAACAACACCATACAACACCATACAATTATAATGAAACACCTTACATATATAATGCAGCATCCTACAAATATAATGTAACACCACAAAACGCAACATAGTAACACAGTACCAAATGGCAGAATAAATTAGATATGGGTTAGATTGGTTAGATATTATAAATTGAAATTATAACCGCAAACATTACGAATGCCATTGACTTTTCTCTCTTAAGATGATTTGTCCTCATCTTTACAGTTCGTCCTTAAGACGATTTGCCAACTAAACTATTCGCCCGCATGTGTTTGTGTGTATATATTCATGTGTCTGTGTGTATGTGTCTGTTTATTTGTTTTTCCGTATATGTCCATGTGTTGGCGCGTATATGTTCGTGTGTTTGTGGGAATATATTATTATATTTGTGGGTATCTGTGAGTGTATCTATAGGTTTCTGTGTATGTATTTATGTTTCTGTGTGTATATATGTTTATGTATTAGTGTGTTTGTGTTTGTGTGTATGTGTTTGTGTGTATGTGTTTGTGTGTATGTGTTTGTGTGTAATAGACATATAATTTAGATGCTGATTTCACACAATTTTGCATAGTTGTCAAATTTTGGTTAATGTATTTTGTGTGTGTGTGTGTGTGTGACCTACTATATATGAAAGTCCTAAAACGCGCACACATCATAACTTGAGCATAGTAGGCCCTGCATTAAGTAAATGATTGATCTTTGCTTAAACGTATCTCTGTTTATTTTTGTTGCACATTGCTTTATAATGCTATTGAATTTTCGTTTTGTTAATTTTCTTCTTTTAAAATAATTTTACATTGTATTTAATATTTTAAAGGTTAAAGGTTACTCACTCTTTTGCGCTTGCTTCAGAGGTTTCAACGACAAACACACACAGCGTATATGAATACGCGTGCAAACCACCCATCATACATATGATGGGTGGGGATCTTTTTGTATTCGAACCCAGTCATTGCAATAGCAAGACCAGGCGCCTTTAACCATTGAGCCATCACGTTGTTTGTAATTATATATAAAATGGTGAATAAATGCTCGGTTCACGGATGTAAAGGTGGAAGCACATCAAATGCAGCAAATGAAGATGAGAACGACCGCATCGACGTAGCTTACCCATTAATGATTAATAAATTCAGGATTTGTGCGCCAGACTAAGCTGTTGGCAAATTTTTCAAACTGTGAACAAATCAAAAACAGCTATGACACTTTTCAAAACCTCCAATTATCAACGAATAAATTTTCATTAGAATTTCCATTTTTGAACTTTTTTTATAATATTAAAGTTTAATTCCAAATCAATAAATAATGCACTGACGATGACGGTTTAACGTCGATGCAGATCTATCTGTAATAATTTTAATAAAATGTTTGTTAATGGAAATAAAGTTTCAACTTTGAACAGACTTAATTTTGTCGTTAAAAATTTAATAAGACAAATTGAAAAGTTCAAATATAAGCAGGTATACTAATAAATCAGTAAAATTTATTGCATCTTGTCATATATATTTAGTTCTAGTAATAGAGATCACTGCGCAGTCTGCATTATTCAACTACAAGTTGAATAATGCCGAAAACGCAGTGATCTTAATAAATAATTGTATTTATGATAGTCTAAATCCAAAATATACATACATATATATATTTATATATAATGCTAAAAAATATAGACTGGAAAATGTGATTTAGCCAATAAAGAATCTAACAAAAAAATGTTGAACTGAGGAAGACACATGAAGATAGTTTTAGAAAGACAGACCACAGCATTATGAAGCAACAGAAAGAAGCAATGCATCAGAAGAGAGCAGGACGGGACGGGCTGGTGCACGCACTGAAGAGCACAGCACAGCGCAACAAAGCCAGTGTGGTGCATGATATAAAATGCGAGGCAACTTGCACGATGGTGAGAGAAGATTTATTAAATTGTTGATCTTATCAGAGGCCCGACTGCAATCCACCAGGGAGCTTCATAGATGGGACTCCTTCTTAATGATGTTTCCATGGCGACAGTTTTTTTTCTTTTATTTATTTTCTCCGTACAATCAGTCATTTGTTTTGTCGCTCAATCATTTTTTATATCGTATTCGCTTCATTTCTGTCAGCTGACTCACTCCTCCCATCCATTCCAGCCTTTTATTTTTCTTAATTTTGCTTGAAAAAATTGTAATCTAACTTAGTGGTAGATAATGTTTGTTTACGAAATTTCTTTGTAGGAAAAAATTGTGTTTGTGAAATTTTGTGTACGTATGTTTGTGCGTGTATGTGTGTACGTGCGTGTTATGTGTGTACAGGCGTGTGTGTGTGCGTGCACGTGCGTGGGATATTTTTGATCTCAAATAAAAACATTAACAATAGAATATGTTATCAAAAAATTCATTTTAAACAAAATAAAATGTTCAGCGAAAAGAATTGTTATTTAAATGGAAATTTTTGCGGACGTAACATTGTACGGATCAGACGTGCGTGAGTTGGAGGCGAACACGCACACGCACACGCACAACATAGGATGGGATGGTATGCAGAGTGGCAGGAGTTAGATCGCCATAAACATCACATACACACTCTACTGTACATATTAATAACATCGTGACGTCACTGAGTTTCTTAATTTATCTAATATATGGATGTGTGTATGTGTATCCACGTCCGAATGAATATAAATAAATATATATATAAATATAGATATATAGATATATACTTACACTTGTTGGTTTATATATATATATATATATATGTGTGTGTGTGTGTGTGTGTTTGTGTGTGTGTGTGTGTGTGTGTGTGTACACAAATGTATAAATGTTTAAATATATGTCTAGCTGATTGTCTTCACAAACTCACTCACTCACTGACAGACCACCGCCAACAAATCGATTGGTATTGATTTTTTGCTCGTCCGGCAAATATTGACTTGTATGCTGCTCGTCGGACGCAATCAAATATTGCAAATATTGCGAAACAGTTCTCAAGCGAAGTACATGCATACCCATAAATATCTCTCTCTCTCTTTCTCTCTTTATATATATATATATATCTTTTTTTTTTCGGTAACAGACTATTGTTAACGCAACATTTCAAAAATTCAACACTACTTTCAACATTGTTCAACTTTTTTATATTTCTTTTTAATTTATTAATTTCAGAGAAATTAGACACTTTATTGTTTTTTTTAAAATTTTATTTAATAAAAATTTTAAAAAAAATTTTAAATTTTAATAAAAATATAAAAAAAGTTGAACAATGTTGAAAGTAGTGTTGAATTTTTGAAATATATATATCTATATATATATATATATATATACATTGTTTGATTGTGATATATATGTCTATGTATGTCTGCTGTTCTCTTGTAACAGTGTCTTTCCATAAAACATACATACATACAAAAATAAACGTGATACAGCTCACACACAAACACAAACACACACGCAGGCACAATCACACGCACAGACGAATACTCCCAAACACATTCCTTCATAACTCATAAATTTCCTTTCAATATGCTCAACCATCACACCTCACAGAGGTCAGCATCACCAACAACAAGGATCCTTGCTTCCGACTGCACTGCCCACCGGAAACGACTTGCAAGATCATCTACAACGGCACCCACATCACTCCTTCCTGTCTCTGTCCAGACTTCTGCCAGCTGAACCTCAAACCAACTCAGAACGCTGTTGATGGCCGAAATGATAACAAAAATGAAGTTGGTGATGATGCCAGCACTCTGTGTGGGTCAGATGGGAATGATTACGAAGATGTCTGCGAGATGAGGAACATCAACTGCAGAAAGGAAGATCACGTGACGGTCAAATTCAGTGGGAGATGTGGTTAGTTGCCTAGGAGTGCCTGCTTCCTTGTTGCCGTGTTCTTTTTTATATTATACTTTTTTTGAAAAGAATATTTAACGTCTTTTTTATTAATTTGCCATCAATCCTCTCTCATCATTGCGATATTTACAGTCGATTTATCACAATTTCCAAATAAATTCATATAGAATTTCAGTTAAATATTATAGCTCATAAACAAAACGAGGCAAAGAGCTTCATGTGCATGGCGTTGGAAGAGCTTGGAACCAATTTTTTAACAGCACCGCATCGCATCATGCGCACCAGATAACACCTTCAAACGGAGTCCTTACATCGGCCAATCACAATCCACAAACTCATTGCACTTGCATTACAACAATACACAAATAAACTCAGACCCATGCAGTTCTTTCAAATGTGAGTCACCCGCTGTTTGTCGCTTGAACGAAGAAACGAGGCAGCCCTACTGCGATTGCGGCACGTTGTGTCCCATGACGATCGAACCTGTCTGTGGCAGCGACGGCAGAACTTACATCAATGAGTGCTTCTTGAAGGAGAGAGCATGCGCAAGAAACGATGACGTCATCGTTCAATTCAGTGGAGAATGTTCATCAGGTTTGGTTGAGCACATTTTTTATACAGTGCATATCAATTTATTCGCTTTGTTCTATGGTGTTGAATAATAATTCTTTTTGTTTTTCACATTTCAATTATCCATTATCGTTTTGATGATTCTCCCAAGCAAGCATAGTAGATCAGGCACCTATGTAGATGCAGAGCACATTTCATCGATCATATACGCAACAACATTTCCCAAGGACCAAATCCTTGCCTGGACTTGGAATGCGAGGTGCACGAACAGTGCCGGATAGACTACACGAACACGGCACACTGCACGTGCCCTCAGCACTGCCCTGCAGTCTACAGGCCGGTCTGTGGCAGCGATGGACTCACCTACGACTCCGAGTGCCACCTCAAGCTGTTCGCCTGCAACAAAAACTTGAATCTGCTCGTCAATAGGGAAGGAGTCTGTCGTCAGTACTCTGATCATTATCTATTAAAGTTTATTTACAATGATCACAAAACCAACATTAATAATAATTATTATTACTATCATATCATCATTTGTTGCCATAAATAATAATTTCTTCATTGTTATCATTGATAAACATCATCATGGTCCTCTTCATGTTCCTCTTTGAGATATCCAGGATAAATATAATATTATCAGCAATATATTATCAACAATATTATCATTATTATTTGAATGACATTAATGAGGCTTTGAACGCTGACAGACCTCTTTAAATGCTTGCTGAATCAAGTGAGAATCAATCATTGCACAAGCTCAATGTGACATCTCACATCTATGAGTACGTGCAAAAATCTCTGAAGTACTAGAGCATTAAAATAGATTATGATTAATCGCAGAATAAATTATGATAAGTTGCATATACGGTAGCAAAATAATCTGTAATAATTTCTGAAGTACTGCCACTCAAGTCTGCCATCTGCACCAAGCCCGAATTGTGATAGCTGTACAGCAAAGGAGTTCGATAATGCCGTGGTTGCTCAGGCAGTAGGAGAGCCCAGAGCAGTGAATGATGTTTGCATGTGTGCGAACGTATTTCAAATGTCGTCTTTACTGAACTTCAAAACTTTCGCATGTTTTGTGTGTGTATGGTTTGGTGCTTCCGTCGCATGGTGTTTGTATACATCAAAGCCTTGAAAAACGCAAATTAAACGTGTAGTTGAAGAATGATTTATCAGCATTTTGTGACGAACAAACAAGGGTTGTTGTGTAATGCACTTTCTAGCACTCTCTAAGGCAATATCATAATTTTTTCTCAAACGAAAAACCAACACGACAGCAAATAAAGAATACTCAGATCCGTGTCAATCCCAGGTGTGTGGGATGCACGAGGAATGCACCCTCCAAGAGGGCTTGCCATCGTGTGTCTGCTCCCCTTGCGACGATGTCAAGAAGAATCAAGTAACTAAAAATAGTTTTTAAAATTGTACCACTACTACTAATAGTGGAGGTGGTATAACTTGCAATGAAATTAACAGTAGTGTAATTTTTAATGAGTCACTCAATAAATGATTAATTAATTTAATTAATCATTTGTTTTTCATAGGTTCATTTAATTTTTTATTAACCGGCAAGGTCTGCGGTAGTGATTGGAAGACTTATGAGAACGAGTGTCTTCTGCATTACGGCAACTGCATCAACAAAACAGACGTCAAAGTTGCTGACAACAAGTCCTGCGGTATGTCGAAATTCCTTTTACCGCTCCAATTTTAATATTATTATTATTATTATTAAAATTATTATTATATTTATTATTGTTGTTATAGTTATTATTATTGTTATTGTTGCTTTTGTTATTATTATTATTATTACACACACACACACACACACACACACACACACACACACATACATACATACATACACATTACACACACGCACACACATTTTAAAACTAATTAACTCTGGTCGTACTCTCTCGATTCGAATGATGAGCTTCTCAGATTAAAACTCTATTTATTGCATTTGACACTTTATTTTATTTCATTATTTTATTTTACTTGTACTGTAATTTTCATTGTTTTTATTGCTGAATAAAAGATTGTTCCCATTATTATTATTATTATTGGCGCATTACCTCGTGATCGTCTCACATTAATATTCATGAGTGTATAACATTAATATTCATGAGTCACGTGTTAGGGAAAAAATCGTTAATAGATATGTCTGCTTGTGTATTTAAATGTGTGGAGGCAGCGAACAAAGTTGAAAATGATAGTTGAGTTGGAGTAAGTACCTATGTTGCTGTTTTGTGATGACATTTTTGTGGTTTCTTCATACGAATTGTAATTTTAATTTTTGAAAATTTTGTTTTTAGACTGCAAATGTTGCTAAAAACTATTTTATAATGAAGACAATGTAGCCATACTAATTTATTATAATTAAAATATTAATGATGTTAATGATGATGACGACGATGTTATATATGATGTTGTTGATAATATCAGGGTATCTGTCTTGTGATGACATTTTTGTGGTTTCTTCATTCGAATTGTGATTTTAATTTAATTACTGTTGATGACGGCGATGTTGTTAATAAATGTGAAAATATTAAGGACAAAATCATGGCGGGCTATCGTGAAAATAAAAGTAACAAATGTTTATTGAAATAAATTTAGTTTTAATCAATGCCACACTTGTTTCCGTCACTCATCATTCTCATAATTTTGTTGAATCGTCATCATCTCCGCCATCTTCATCTTCTTCATCAACATCATCAGATCCTTGTCACTTAAAACAATGTGCATACGATTCTGTGTGTCTCGTTGATAAGAGCAACAATACTGCAACGTGTCACTGCAACAAGTCCTGCTCACATGAGGTATGCACACACACACACACCACACACACACACACACACACACATACCACACACACACACACACATACCACACACACACACATACCACACAAGCACACACACACATACCACACAAGCACACACACACACACACACACGCACACACACACACGTATTATTGGTAGTCGTTGTTGTAGTAGTAGTAGTAGTTTAGTAGTTCAATACATTTGTACGAAACACTGACGTGCAGTCGACCGCCCTGGTGTGTGCCACAGACGGAAGGACGTACAGGAACCTGTGCGAGATGGAGCTTCAGTCCTGCAGGATGCAACAACCAATCACATTCTTCTTCAACGGATCTTGCGGTAGGTATCATATCAATTTATTACTATTACGCCGCTTCTGTTAATGTTTTTGAAGTAATTTGAGATAATACGCAGAAGATTATCTTCATCGATTTGGTGGCAACGGTGAAAGAGACGCAGCGTTTAATTTGTACGTATAAGGCTAAACGTGGAATCATCAAATTAATCAACTTTGTTCAGCGTATTATATTTTAACGCAAAAACAGATACAAAACAACATTCTAACAAATTTAATTGGTCTGCAGACCCATGTGAGCACGTGACCTGCAAGTTTGGGGCTAGATGCGAGAACGGGGCTTGCACCTGCACGTTTGCATGTCCCAACGAACGCAAGGAGGAGGTCTGTGGGGATAATGGCAAAACCTATCCCAACGAATGCTTCATGAACAAGTCCTCGTGTAAAGGGAATGTTGACGTCAGGTTGGCCTACCATGGCAAGTGCAAACCAAAGGACGGTTAGTTAGCTGGCTTCGTTTGATCTCTTCGTTCAATGTAAATATAAATAATACAGTATACAAAACTTTTATGTATTGCATGAAATTATTCCAATGCATTGAATACATTTAAAAAAATTCAATAATAAAAAATAGACTTGCAATAATGTTTGTTGCTTTGTTTTAAAAGATTGTTCATTGCAATCTGTTGAGATCTGCTGCTCGATTATAAATTTTTAATAATACGTTGAAATTTTAAATTAATTTCATATATTTCGCGTTTTATATCAGTTTGGAAAGGAGAGTTCCAGCATTGTTGTGTTTTATCATAGTGTACTATATACTAAATTATCGTATATCATATCGCACTATACTTGATAGGATATGATATGATATACTTGATAGGATATAATATCATATCATATCATATCATATCATATCATATCATATTATATTAGATTAGATTAGGAAATTTGTGTATCTTTTCTTTAGGAAAAATTAATAAAGTTGTTGGCAACGAAGATGATGCTGATGATGAAAAATCTCTTTTAAATGCAAAAAATGTTTTCGACGAGGAGGGCGACGGTGGTGATGATGAGGATGAGATGTCTGGCTCTGGAGGTCATTCATCATTCTTTATGATACCTTCATCTTTTTTGTTTTTTTCATTTTTTACATTATTATTCAAACTATCATAACGCACCTTTAGTCGGGGTGAGGAGAGGGGCTGTACTTTACGTGCCCGTACTGGCCAACCCATCCTGCAGTAGCGAGTCGGAAATTCTCAAACTTTATACACACTCACGTACCGAAAATTCAAGTCGACACACTCTATCTATATAAATATATATATAAAAAAATTGTAAAATATTGACAAAAAAACTGATAGACATAAAGAAAGAAGACTCCTGTTCATTGAAAAGTTGTGGCTACGGTGGGAGATGTTCTATGGCCAGCAACGCTCAGAAGATGTGCGTCTGCCATTTCAACTGTCCACTCTACAAGTGAGTTTTAGAAAGAGCTTTTCATGCTTAGTATTATCAGATTTTCATCATCACTAATTAATTATAAAATGTTTGTTAACTTTGTGTATTGTTGTTCAATTTTTTACACTCAAAATAATAAATAAAAATCATTAAATAATTTTTTCAATACACTGACAAACAGAAATTTGATCTGTGGATCAGATAACAAAACGTACGACAACGAATGTGAACTGAAGGAGGCGTCATGCAAAACTCAGAAGCCAATCAGCGTCAAGTACCAGGGCTCGTGTGCAGGTTGTTCTGCAAGCTTCACACATTACGATTATTTCCATTTGTCATGTTAAATTTTTCAAATTGTTTTCAATCTGCAATTCTAGTTCCCTGTCAATGCAATTTGATTGGTTCCTTGGAGAGGTCATGTGATCCAATAACTCATCAATGCGCCTGCAAGCCCGGAGTGGGCGGTCCTAAATGTGACAGGTTCCTACAATATTTAATCGTTGAATGAAATTAGTTTCGTTCCCTATTTACAAGATACCACTGTGTAGCAGTTACTGCTATTCAACAAATCTCGATTTTTCGTTAATGTACATAACTTTATTGCAGCATCTTCACTCTAACATTCCTCTCGTGATGGCTTAGTGGCTAAAGGTGCCTGGTCCTTTTTCGCAGTGCGTGCTGTGACCGCGTTCGAATATAACAAGAGGATTACATGCTTTGTGTGTGTGTGTGTTGTGTGTGTGTTGTGTGTGTGTGTGTGTGTGTGTGTGTGTGTGTGTGTGTGTGTGTGTGTGTGTGTGGTGAGTCGTTCAGCAAGTATTCGCGTAGGCTTTTGTGAATCGTTAATTCCTTGAACTTGAACTTTGGAGGAGTTTATAAGACCTTTAACTTCTTGTTACATTCATAATGTAACATATTTACATTGTTACGCCGTCCAGATGCATTCAGATGTACTGGGGTCTGCCTAAAATTGCAGAGGGAAATCCTGGCTGTCTCCGTAAGCCTTATTTTATATTTGATTTTGAAGTAGCAGCATATTTTCAAAGTTTTTTTTAACTCTGGTGAACATTTTTTCTCTCACAAAGATGAATAATAAAAATATTTTTATCACAAAAAGTTGTTTGTTACTCAAGTTATAAAACTAGAAGATGAATAAAAACAGAAGTTCTTCAAATAAAATTACTGATACCTTAAAACCTCCTGACAGTAAACTTCTGAATACGCAACTGCTGTTAAATACATACCAATGAATGACGCTATAACGTAATAACTATTGTTATGAAAAGTTTTATAAACAAACTCATTATAGAAGATACAATGCTCACAGTACAATGTTTGCTGAACACATTATTTTCCTGTTTTGAATGCTACCACTGATGTTTTTATGAACATTAATTATAATTAATAATTATTATAATAATTAAGTTTATTTTTTGTATATTTTTAAAACCAAGCATGTAACTGCAACAAACACGGTTCACTGAGGGAGGATTGTGAGCAGATGACAGGGAGGTGCATGTGCAAGCCTGGAGTGGCCGGTCAAAAATGCAACCTCTGCCTCAATGGGAGGCTGTTTGGATCGCGTGGATGCACCGGTTTGTTGGTTGAAGAGGATGTTTCGACAATTAATGAGACGTGTTGATTTGCAACGTGTATGCGGTCTCTCTATAATCAGCTGGATAAACAATCTGTCTATTGATTGATTAACTTAATTGCTTTTACTGACGGCTAGATCTGTTTATCGTCAGAGGACATTAATATAAATAAAAGTAATTTAGTACTAAATTTAATTGTTCTGCTAAAAAATTGAAAATAATTTCAGGTCCTCGAATGTTTTACAAGCGCAATCTTCGGAACTTAACACTTAATCCATCAACAACGACCAAATATCTTCCAGCAAATCTTCCACAAAATAAAAAAACAGCTCAGAGTAGGGTGAAAAAGTCAAATGATATTATCTATGAAGGTTTTTTGGCATTTTCATTTGTTTTCATGTTTTTCTATTACAACTCCAAACCTTTTCCTTACCTTTCAGCTCCAGCCTCTCCTTCATTCCACTCAACATCTTACATGTTGCTGACGTCACCGGACTACGTGACCAGGGATGTGACCATCAGTTTGACCTTCACATTGAGCTCTTCGAAAGACGCCATCCTCTTGTACATGGGCAACGTTGGCAAGCACAGAGGAGACTTCTTAGCCATCACCATCAAACGCATGCACGTTGAATTCAGGTGGCTTTTTCATTGAGTGCATACATGTTGATGAATTAATTTTTAAATGATATTTTTATTTTGACACGTAGATACAAACTCAAATGTAGATTATTTTTAAAAGCGGTCATTTTTTGGAAATCTGGCAGATACAACCTTGGTAGCGGGCCAGCAGTATTGCGAACCACCGATCTAATAGATGTTAACCAGCAGCATAAAATTTGGGCAGCAAGATTTGGTAGAGATGGAGCTTTGAAAGTAGACAATGGTCAGCAAATATCATCAGTCAGCAAGGGAAGCCACAGAAATCTGGACATCAAACACGGACAGCTGTTTATTGGCGGCATCAAAAATATCACTGATCAGTAAGTGTATTTTTAATTACTTTTTTTGATAAATGTGTAAAATTTTACAAAATAAAAAACTATTTTACATCATTCACTTTTTATCCATATAATTATCGTAATAAATCATACAGAGTAAGCACTCAAATAGGGGGAGTGAGTGACGGATTGGACGGAAGCATAGATGAACTCACCATCAGCACCACACACGGATCTACCACCACTTATAATTTGTCTCTTACCAGTTCTACGCATATTTTAGAACATCAAAATATAAGTTGGCGTTTTGTGTTAGACTTAATAGTTAAAAAAATACTTTAAAAAATGTAATGAATTAATATTATAGTTATATTCAATAAATCAAACATAACCAACAACTAGATAAATCGAAACCTCCAACAAAAATTTCCATTCCACGTTTCCGTGGTGATTCGTACATTGCAACCAGACTGCATGGTGATGCTCCTCTCGCTTCTTCATTTGTTGTCGAGTTGTGGTTCTACTCCTATCAACCCTCAGGTCAGACATTTTGTCTCTATATTCACGACGACGACGATGATGATAATAATAGAGGTGTCTATATTGCAAAGGATATTGCATTGTTAATGATGATAGAAAAATTGAAACGCGACCACAAGAGCCACTAATCTAATGTTCAGTTTCAACAATCGACCGTTGCACAGGTGTTCTGATGATGGCGACCAGTGAAGATAGGTCCAACTACTTCATTCTCTTCCTCCATCGCAACCGGCTTCAGCTGAAGTACAAAACTACAAGATACACTAAAACTATAATGTAAACTTTTTGCATTTTCACACTATAAGATAATAAGTTATAATAATTTTTGTAACTGTTTAACAATTGATAATGTTGACAAATTAGAAGTTCTCAAGATATAAAAGGCAAGAAATGGCACAAAGTACTGGTGATCATGTCAAAAGGGGAGGGATTAATAATGGTTGACGACGACCATCCAATCATGAAACAAAAACAAGAAGCAGGGTTGTTATATGGCAACCAATCAATAACCCCACCAACTGCCAACAAAAAATCAACAAACAATGCTGATTGGTTGTTATACTTTGGAGGCTATCCAATCACATTGAAAGAGGTGGCTAAGACCATACCGGGGTTCAATGGGGCTTTTCAAAGGGTGTGTTTGAAAATAATTTTAAAACAAATAGATAAAAATTTGTTTAAAATAAAATTAATTTTTCGAATGTAGATGTACGTCAATGGATGGCAGTTAGATGCCACCAGAGATTGCAAGAACTTGTCCTTCATGGGGTCAAGATGTTTGAAAATTTATGAGAAATACCACGTAGATGAATATGATGGCCACCCCTGTCCCCACTCAAACAATCCTTGTGATGAAGATGCTCTGTGCATGCCACTCTTGAACGATCATGTCTGTTTGTGTCAAGATAAATCAAACAGCAGAGAAGATCGCGATGTCTTCAATAGTAATGTTTTCGGGAAGGATGATTACGATTCAAACAATTTTGACAAAAAAAGAAACTCCAGTTCATGTCATTGTAAGCAACTATTCAAATTTGTGATGAATTCAGTGATCTAATAATCTCATTATTATTTATTTAATTTTTATAGATGGACCGATGTCGTCGGTTCGTTTGTACGGTGACCATCTGCTTAGCTATCCATTCGACAAGTCAGTCGGTAGCACGAATATTTATTCAGCTCATCTTTGAAATATGAATTTTTAATTTAAAACAAAATATTAATACTCAGTCACTCTTAACATAAAATCACAAGCATTCAATTGGAATAAAAAGATTAATAATATTGCAGAATTTCCAGAACCCTCCAGTTAAGATTTCAGACGACGGCTAATGATTCGGACCTCATGCAGATATCTTTCCACCCGACCAACAGAATTTTCTTTCTTATAAGAAAGAATATTTTGTTTGTGCACTTTGTGAACAAATTTGCGAATGCGAGCATCGATTCTAAACGTTTCGTGGCAGATGGAATGTGGCACAAGCTCCTACTTCAAAGGTCAATCTCAATCATGTTATCAAATAACAACAGAAAGTAACACCATTTTTAATATCATTAGTTATGGCCTAAAGCTCCACTCATATTAATTTAATCAATAAAACAAATCGGTCGAAATTTTTCTCACACTCTAACCAGTTAATTAATTTGCATTAGAGTAATATTTAAATAATTAAATTAAAAGATCGGCGAATGTGTTGAAGTTATTTGTCGACGGCAGACTTTCTGGCAATCACAGCCTGAGTGGAGAACTTCTTGAGGGCGAGAAAAATAATTTTCATGATAAAATTATTTCAATTGGTTCGTTGAGTTTCAATTTATTTCAATTATTTGTCACTGCTATTATATTTTTTTAAGTTTCTCTTGTTCAAAGTTATTTTTAAAAGTATATTCACCCACAACATCGATGATTGTAGTTAATGGGCGAGCAATTTTTTAATTTGCACGCCAGGTGGAATCAAGGAGGTGGTTCAAACAGTCGGTTGGGAAGAAGATGAAAGAAACGAAATAAACAAGGGGAAGGAATTATTTTTTAAAGGCTGCATGGAATCTTTGAAAGTTGACGATTTAAAAGTAAACCTTCACGAAGATAGATTGCAAAAAGATCAAGTTTTGATTCCATGCTATTGAAATGTAGCTATTTAAATAATAATTACTTTCATGAAATCACAAATATAATCACAACATTAAATTAATTTATGTGATAATGATGATTATGATAATAAAAATAAATAATAATAACAACTAATAATAATGATGATAATAATAATAAAATAATAATAACGATAATAATAATTATTAAGCTGCGAACAACGAAGTTGATCAATAAGAAAAAACTTAGTAGGGAGAAATATAGTTTTATATTTTGTCCCGCTGTCTACCTGTCCGTTGTAGATTGAGTCCGAATTTTACGAACCTGTTTACAACAGTCTGTCCGTCAAATGGAATGAAGGCTTAGAAGGTTCATTATAGGACAAATGCAGACAGGAAATATTTCAATTCGTTTAATGCTCTATCAAACGCTTCTATTTTTATATAAATAAATATAAATTTTGATCCATCTGACATTTTCTTATTAAATCATATAACTGTCTTAACTTTGATACATTGTAGTTGTTGATTTGTTTTTATATAATTGTGAATATATATATATCGTGTGGAACTAGTTTTTTTTACGTTTTTATCACCCGGCTGTTGTTCACCTTTCATTCGAGCAGTGTTAAATCTTTCTTTATTCTATCCTAAAACATTGAACATTTCCTCTTCCATGCGTTATGTTTCTGTCATAATGTTCAAATCTTAATATAGATTTTCCAATACTGTCTTCAGTCAATATTATTGGTGATCAAAACGTGTTAAAAATTAAAAACTATTACGACACGAAGAAAAAGATTAGAATACAAACTAGGGTGATGCATTCAACGGATGTGAAGGAGCTAACTGCAAAACCTTTTGGATGGCTTAATTAAACTATTTGGAATCGGGTATAATAATAATATTTGTTATTATATATACAGTTTATATAGCGCCTATTCAATTGTTTATGGACGCTTTTTGCCACGTGTTATTTTAAAGCACGTATAAGCTCAGATAGCATTAGGTGACAAATACGAATAACAAACAAATATAAAAATAATACAAATAATAAAATTTATTATTTAAACCTTAATCATTTGACCTTGGAAACGTTAAAAAATCTAGGCAAATGCTTTTCGCTAGATGTCAAAATGTAGTTAATAAAGTTATGCTTAATCAAATGTTCACATAATTTTTTATAAATAATAAACAAATCTAGTTCAACGGAAAATTAAAAAAAACCAGTGCACCTGAACGAAAAAATTGTTTACTTATGAAACAAGGAGAACTGAAATTAGAATGTTTATTGATTATTGGCATGGAATGGCCAAACAACCCCGCCAGCCCAAGGTAGCTGTGGTAGTCTGTTAAATAATTTGTCTGAATTTTTGTCTGTTATTTTGATGCACGTATAAGCCCAGACACAACAAGATATTCAGGTAATGAGGTCATCGCGTCCCAGTTATCCGACTTTTCAGCCAATGGGAGACTGGAGGCGTGGAAAATGATGCTGCTTCTGTTGCTTGGATGCAGGATGCAGAGTAGCATTCACAGCTTCCTCCACCAGTTTGACCGACCAGGCCATCAGTCCATCATGAATTTTTGAATGAAGCGCCCATCTATTCATTCATCCATCCGTCTATCCGCCCACAAGCACATACAGACGTCCTTAACAATGTTTATGTGTACAGTACGCGTATATTGATATCTAAGCCATATAAATGTATATATATATATATATACATGTATATACATATGTATATATATATATATATATATCAGAGCATGTTCAGCGCTAGTTAGATTCTTGCTTAATTTTTCGATTTTTCTAATGGTGGATCGTAAATCATTGCCAAGTTTCTTAAGTTCAAAACCAAAATTTTTATTTGTTTAAAGCATGATTGAACATTTAAGCATGATAGAACAAAAAGCTTTTTCGTTATTCCTATACCATCTTCGGTGTTCAAACTGATACGCTGTGTATGTGGCCAAATGCTCAAGTATATTTAAATATACTGTGTCTCTACAACGTTATTGACATTGATGAAAATTAAAAACCTGACAATCTACCGTTTGAAAAATTAAACAGGAAGCTAACTAACGCGGAACATGTTGGGGTTTTCATTAATAATTGCATTTCTAACAGTCTTAATGCTATATATATATAAATTTTTTTTATTTTATTATTCTTTAAAAATCAGGATCTGACAGACGCAAAAACTGTTACAGCATGCAAAACAAGGCAGTAGTATAAAATTAAACGAATAAATAAATAAATAAAAAACGGAGAAAGAAAAATGTTTAAACATGAAAAGTATTGACAATAAAATAAAATAATGGCATAAAAGGCAAATAATTAAAGTAATTTGTTAATGGACTACTAGGTGATGACTTAGTGAGTTAGTGAGGTAATTGATAAATAAAAACTAGTCGTGTGAATGATAGAGTTTTATTGAGTGTTAAGATGTTTGAGATGTCTTGTGATGAAAGTCTTTTCTTGATATGTAGATTGGGTGGCCACTTGATAGTTATGTTAGCGCTGACGAAGGTTGTGTGTTGTAGTTTTGATTGGTGGTAGTAGAGGATGGATGACGTGGTTGTTGTTGTTTTCTACTTTCTTAAACAGTCTTGAATGGAGAGTGTTGAATATCTGAGTGACGGTAGGATATAATGCAGGTAGATAGTTGAAGCGGATTAGTTTTTTGATGAGAGATTGTAGTTGCTGAAGTTGTTGTTGTGTAGCAAAACCAGACCAGGAGGGAGCAGCATATTTGATGCCTGAGATGATGAGTGATTCAGTGATGTCGAATAATTTGATGCCTCTAAGACCATGTGAGCGGAGTGTTTTGAGTGCGTGAAATGTTTGAAAGCCTTTTGTGATGATGTGATTGATATGAGGTGCTATATTGAGTGCGGAGGTGAATGTGATGCCTAATATCCTTAATTGATTCGTGCGAGTGATTGATGAGTGTTCTGGAGGTAAGGTTATTTTCTTACGGATATTGTGAATGATGAGTGAGTTTGAAGGATTTATTGAGATTTAGTGACAGATTGCATCGTTTTGACCAAGTAGTTAATGAGTCGAGTTCTGATTGCATGGTGTTTGAGTTAGATGATGGGATTAAAAGGTAGGTGTCGTCAGCGTATTTGATGATTTGATCAGAGCCATGAAAAGTTTATAGAGTAGAAGCATTGATGATAAAGGTAGATGGTCCAAGGACAGAACCTTGAACTACGCTAGAATTAATAGGTAGAGTAGATGAAAGAGTAGAGCTAAAGAAAGTAGAATGACTTCTATTAGAAAGAAAAAGTAATATATAAAAATATAATATATATATATATATTATATTGTTGTTTCTATATTTAATATTTCATATCATTATATATATATAACCTTAATGAAATATATATATATATATATATATATATATATATATATATATATATTTGAAAATCACAGCATGTTCGGCGTTAGTTAATTAGTTACATTACAATAACAACCATTATAATTTACGACTAGCCAAATAAATACTCATAGAACAAATACAACAAAGACATCCGATAATAAATATTCAACAACGGGCAATTGGAATTCTTCCTACCAATAAATTTAGAAACAGAGAAATCATCGATAATGAAAACAAGTAATTTAAGAGCGTTAATATTTAGCGATGTTGAAGATTGTAAAATTGAGTATTCACTTTAAACAATCAGGAATCAACAAAGTAGAGTAGAGACACAGTATTAATACATTTGAGCATCTGGGCACATACCCAACATATCAATTTGAACACCGAAGATGGTATAGAAATACCGAAAAAAGCTTTTCTGTTCTATCACGCCGAAAATAAACAAAAATTTTGGTTATGAACTCACGAAACTTGAAAATGATTCACGATCAACCGTTAAAAAAATCAAAAAGTTAAATTGTATGTTGACTAACGCCGAACATGCTTTGTTTTTCATCAATAATTCCATTTCTGACAGTAGTTTTAATCCAATATATATATATTAGGGATGCACCGGATTCAGGTTTTTCAAATCCGGCCAAGTCCGGATTTTAGTTACCATTTTACATACGTTAGAAAAAATATTCACATTTACGGTTATCTACATGTTGAACATCAAAAAATAACACCAAGCAAATAGTTATTTAATTCAAATATATGAATAAGTTGTGTGATACGCCAAATTCTGTACACAAAGATCAGCTTATAATTTATGCATATTTGCATAACCCAAGTTAAAGCACAAAGAAAATTGTCCAGCTCACCGCACAATTAGTGATGTTGTAATTATGTGTCATGTATACCTTGCCTAACCTTTAACTTACCATGTTCTTAAATTATAAATATATATTATATATATATATATATATATATATATATTATGTAGCTATATGATCCGTCATGTGCAATTATCAATATAAAGTATATACACGTGCACAAGTTCTTTTACACAAAGATCAGCTTATAATTTATGCATAACCCATGTTATAGCGTAAAGAAAATTGTCCAGATCACCTCACAATTAGTGATGTTGTTATTATGTGTCATGTATGCCTTTAGCTTAGCCTTTAACTTATTGACATAAAATTAATTGAATTCAATAAAAAATTTTTTTCTGTTTATAACATTTTTAAAAGTTGATAGACGCTTAAATCCGGCCACCAAATCCGGCCGGGGCCGGATTCGACCGGATTTGAAAAAAAAGCCGGATTTTAGCCGGGGCCGGAGCCGGGGCCAAACTTCGGTGCATCCCTAATATATATATATGCATCTGTCTGATCTAATATTTTTAGTACAGTAGTTTGTGTGTGTGTGTGTGTGCGCATGCGACGAGGGCCCGATTAAATATTAAATAAAAATATATAGATATAAAAATTATGGCATTATATATATCGGTTTATTTTGTCCGGGACTGAGGTTGACATTTCTGGTTGGGACTGGATTGTTGTGTGGATTGTTGTGTGGATTGTTGTGTGGATTGTTGTGTGGATTGTTGTATGGATTGTTGTGTGGATTGTTGTATGGATTGTTGTGTGGATTGTTGTGTGGATTGTTGTGTGGATTGTTGTGTGAGGAAGGAGATTGTGGTGTCCCATTTACCGTTGCTTTCGTAAATGATTGTTTTTAAGCAATTTTAATGTGTATATGACGATATATATGGTATGTGTTATTTATTAGCTTATGTTTTTTTACTGTATTGGGATAAAATTTTATATCTTGCTTATTGACAATCACTTATAAAAATTAATATTTCACAAAGTTGATAAATATTATTTAGTAAATCAACAATACCAATAAATAGAAATATTCGTTAAAACGGAATGCAAGAGCTTCAAATTTTATTAAACTAAAAGCACTGAAACAGAATGGTAATAAAATTAGAAAAAAAGGATGATGAAGATGATGACATTGCTGAAGATGATGATGATGATGCACGTTGTTTATTTACACTAGTTAAAAAATTGACTGAAAAACAGCGTGTTGTATGTCGTCCAGTAAAAGGCACATCTGCCTGCTTGCATACCTTCTTCTTCTTCGTGCTATGTATGTCCCAGTTGTGTATGTTTGTTTGTTTGTTTGTATGTTGTGGTTGTATGTCACTGCTGTTGTATGTTCTTTTCTGTATGTGGTTCGTTAGAGTTGTTGTATATGTTGTACTTTTTCATTGTAGTTGTAGGTTATAAATGTAGTTAGTTGTTTGTGGTGTGTTGCAGTTGTTAACTGTACATTATGTGTGTTGCTGTACGTGTACATTATCGTCGTCATCTACAACAGGGTAACTTGTTACGGTTGTTGTTTTCGCTGATGTTTTCTCAATAACTTTTTGTAAATTTTATTTGTTAGATGAATAAATAAGTGAATAAGTTATTGATTGATTGTTTGGTTGGTTGGTTGGTTAGTTGATTGATTGATCGATATATATATATATATATGTATATATATATTTATATACAATTATTTATAAAGATACGTTTTCGGCATTAATCAAATTGTAGTTGAGTTTCTCAATTTTTCTAACGAGACTTTTATCATCTTGATGAAGTTTATTAAGGTTAAATAAAAAACTTTTAATATTAGACATTTTTGACAAAACATTAATAACGTTATTACTACAGAAAAGCTCTTTTCGGCATCAACTGCCATCATCAGTGTAGTTATATAGTATTGCTCCGTCTTTGTGTCTTTGTTTTTACAGCGACTTTGATTGTAACTTAATTAGAATTAAAGTTAATCATGTGTTTCTTTGTTGGAAGAATATTGGTATTATTTAGTTGAATTGCTGGTTTACGTTTATCGAGGAAAATTGATTCTGTTATCTTTAAATTGAAGTATTCTCTGTTGTAATAAATTGCTTTGGTGTTATTGTCTCAAATTTCC